AAATTGTTGCAAATTTATTAAAAATAAAAACCTGAAAAATCCCCTGTACATAAGTGTTTACAACCTTTGCTCAATACTTTGTTGATACACCTTTTGGCAGCAATTACAGCCTCAAGTCATTTTGAATATGATGCCACAAGCTTGATACACCTGTCTTTAGGAATTTTTACCCATTTCTCTTTGCTGTACCTCTCAAGCTCTATCAGGTTGGATGGGAAGCGACAGTGTACAGCCATTTTCAGATCAATAGGATTTAGGTCTGGGCTCTGACTGGGTCACTCAAGGACATTCACAGAGTTGTTGTGAAACCACTCCATTGATATTTTTGTGGGGGCTTTGGGTCATTGTCCTGCTGGAAGATGAGCCTTCGCCCCAGTCTGAGGTCAAGAGCACTCTGAAGCAGGTTTTCATTCAGGATGTCTTTGCGCATTGCTGCATTCATCTTTCCCTCTGTTCTGACTAGTCTTCAAGTTCCTGCTGCTGAAAAACCAAACAAAATCCCCACTGGATGATGCTGCCACCACCATGCTTTACTGTCGGGATGTTATTAGCCTGGTGATGAGCGGTGCCTGGTTTTCTCCAAACGTAACGCCTGGCATTCACTCCAAAGAGTTCAATATTAGTCTCACCAGACTAGAGAATTTAGTTACTTATGGTCTGAGAGTCCTCCAGATGCCTTTTGTTAAATTCCAGATGGGGAGTGGCTTCCATCTGGCCACTCCACCATACAGGCCTGATTTGGTGGATTGCTGCACAGATGGTTGTCCTTCTGTAAGGTTATCCTCTCTCCGCAGAAGAATGCTGAAGCTCAGACAGAGTGGCCATCAGGTTATTGATCACCTCCCTGACTAAAGCTCTTCTCCAACGATCACTCAGCTTAGATGGCCGGCCAGCTCTAGGAAGAGTCCTGGTGGTTCCAAACATCTTCCACTTACGGATGATGGAGGCCACTGTGCTCATTGGAACTTTCAAAGCAGCAGAAATGTTCTGTAACCTTCCCCAGCCTTGTGCCTTGAGACAATCCTTGGTTTGTGGACAAAGCTTGGTTTGTGCTTTGACATGCACTGTCAACCCTGGGACCTCATATAGACAGGTGTATGCCTTTTCAAATCATGTCCAATCAACTGAATTTACCACGGGTGAACTCCAATTAAGCTGCTGAAACATCTCAAGAATGATCAGTGGAAACAGAATGTACCTGAGCTCAATTTAGAGCTTCATGGCAAAGGTTGTGAATACTGATATAGATGTGATTTTTTTTGGGGGGGGTTTTATTTTTTTTTATAAATTTGCTTAAATTAAAAAAAAATTACATTGTCATTATGGGGTATTGTGTGTAGAATATTGAGGAAATAAATGAATTTAAGCCACTTTGAACAAAGACTACAACATAAAAAAACATGGAAAAAGTGATGTGAATACCCGTATATTAGTGCTGTGGTTTGGGGAACTATACATTGTCAGTGATGCAATTAAAGTCATTGATGTTCTCTAATATGTTTGAATTCACTTTTAATAATTAATATTTAAGACAAGAGAATAAAATGGGAAATTTTAATTAATAAATTGTGTTGAGACTAGAGCTGCAACTAACTTTTGTTTTGATAATCCATTTGTTGAGTGATTATTGTTCGAATTTAAATCGCTGTGTAAATCGGATTAATCAGATAAACCGGATTTTAAAATCTATGCTTATTTATGTGACATTTTGCTTATAACTATATAAAACCATAATTTAGCACATGTATAAAAGTATACTTTTAAAAAAACGCAAAAGCAACCTACCGAGTTTAATTTTGACATTTAAAAACTTAATTGAAAAACAAAGATGGTTTTGAATGGAAGTGAATGAGACAGAAGTCTTAAGCCAAAAAAAATTTGCCCACTCATACGTGAAGAATAAGGTCAATGGTATACAAATTGGGACGCAGAAATTGACTTCCATAGTCATTTGTTTTGCTAATATTAAAGCCGATGGGTCCCAGCAACCAGCGTTCATCAAAATATCTTATGTGTTCAACAGAAGAAAGAAACTCATAAAGGTTTAAAACCACACAAGGCAGAGTAAACGATGAGGTAATTTTTAGTTTTGGGTGAACTATCCCTTTAATGTGGCCACTTATAAGTCACGTGCAGCTCATCTGTCTTATGCTTATAAGCCTGTCATGTATGTTTGCGTAAGACAAGCTTGTTTGACTTGCTCCGTGCATTGCAATAACAATGTTACAGTTTAAAATGAAAGTCCAACATTTAACATGTATCATAGATGCAGTAAACCAAGCTGGAGTTTAGTCTAAATATGCTGTTGGTTTACGCTATGCAGCAAGACTCAGCTGTGCACCATGAGCTCAACAGGAAATGCACTCATATCATAAAAATGAAGTTGTCACTCACACCCTTTCAAAGCCTGCAGTGTACATCTGGACCTGCTCGGAGTCGGTACATTTCTATTATTTGGAAGTGCAAATTCCATTAATGTTGATGTGGGTGGAAGGAGCTCATAGAGACAAACGGTGAGCGCAGGCAAACATGTGGAACTGATTTTGCCCAATTCTCCAGCGAGACATGAAGTCCTCCATGCTGCGCCTGGGAAAGTGTATAAAAGGAACTAGTGTATGTAATTGTGTGTTTTTCCAATATGAGTGCCTACATGAAAATGGTACTAATTATAGCGCCGTTATTTTACAGTAAATAAAAGTAATTCCCTTGGATGGCGTTCATGCTCTGTTCACCGGCTGTTAGCTATTAGCACAAATGCACTGATGTCGATGAGTTCACACATTGAGCTCCACAGTATTGAGTGTTGTTTTAACACTAGTGGTGGGAAAAGTGGGTTAATTGTAAATAAATTGATTCACTCAACTTTTTCAATATCTCTTTTTGAGATTTTTACAATGCAGATTGTATCAAAACATCTTAACACAGAAGTTCTAGTAAACTAAAACTGTGTCAGTCCTGTTTTCAGAGTTGAAGTTCAGTTATTTCAATTCAGTGTGGTTTAATTTTTACTGCTTAAAGTCAAAACACTGAAGAGCAAATCCTTTGATGCGCAGCTCCACAAGTCCCAAACCAAGCAAGATGGTGGTGGCAGTGAGGAGAAACAAACATCACCAATTGTTGAAAGTGAAGGAAAAAACCTTGAGAGAAACCTGACTCAGTTGGGCACAACCATTTCTCCTCTGGCTTAATTTGTTTTTGGAATTATTGATATTATTGATTATAAATGTACTTCAAAACAATATTAATGGGACAGTTCGCCCAAAAATGAAAATTCTGTCATCGTGCCTTCACTTGTTAACTTGTATTTGAGTGTCTTTACCCTGTTGAATACAAAAACAGTTAGTACTTTAGCACTCCATTTGTAAATTTAATCGAATTCACGTCCAGTATGCTATGCATTGTGGGCAATATTAGCCGTTGAAGTATTTACTTTGAATTTTGATTGAAATGGTCTCGATAAAGTCTCTAACTTTGGAATACTTGTTTCAACTATGACTTTAATATGATTCGTAGTAAATATTTATATTGTACTTCTTTTTGACAGAAACAAGGTATTTAATTAACTGTCTATTGGTGAATGTTAATATTTGTATTTGCAGCAGAGGTTTGATATTACTGGAATGAAAGATGTAGGACTGTTGTGCATTTTATTTTAATTTAATATCAGTTTTGGCCTCCAATTAAAAATAATGAAAGGAAAATAATTGAGATAAAGCAATTATTGCATCATATCTCATCCCTTTACATTTTTTTTAACCGTACATCATAGTCTCTTTGATTTATTCTAATCAGTTGGTCTTAAAATGACTTAAAAAGTCTTAAATTTCCAAAACGTGGATCAGGGTGGGGCCAAGTCGGAGCATTCACTCTGATCCCCCAGGCTCTGTGTTACTTGGAGACATTTCAAATTGAACCAAAACAAACGATTACAGTTGGCTTAAGATTGGCAATGAAAATTTAGGAAATGCAACGTGCAGAACCTGGCAATTAAAAAAAAATTCCAAAGTGAAATTTTAGGTCTAAAAAAGTCCTAAATTCACTGAAATATTGTGATGTTGGTCTTAAATCATTTTAAACAGGTCTTAATTTTGCTTTACTCAAGTAAAGCTACTCAGTCAGGCCGGCATCCATCTAGTGACCAACAATAGATATTTTTTATATTTTAGGTCTTTGTTGCAAAGTGATACAATTCACAAGAGCTGTTAGACATTTTTACAACAAATTCCCAAATTAAATTCCCTAATCTGGAAAATCAATGACAAAAACAATTCCTGTGTTTCTCATTATAATACTGGGCCATTGGAAAAAATCCTTAGTCTTTAACCCTGTAAAAGTCTAAAATTTAATACCTAAACTCTTTGAGTGTGACTCAGAATTGATTAAAAGTAATATTGAAAGACTTGATTAAACCTGCAGGAAACCTGTTCTTAAGTATTTGAAACAATATAAAAAGTCAGTATCACACTCAATTCTGACATCTTTTTATTTTAATATGCTTTTAACTTCTTTTTCAGTGCAACTTTGTTCATCTTTTATGTCCTGTTTTATTAGCTTTATATTGAAAGATTCAAGCTGTCAAGTTTTTTTTCAAGTTTTTTTTTTGTATAAAGTAACAGTTGTGGTTTTAAAATGTGTGTACTTGTGTAGTTTTTTTTTATTTCAGATGATTTAAGGAATCATTATTTTGGTAGAATTATTTGCTCATTTTAACTCCATAATAATGATTTGATACCATAAGTTGATACCATATACATCCAGTATATTCAAGGAAACTGTGAATGTTCAAGTGTTTTCCACAACTATTTTTTCTCAAGTTGGTTTTAGTATTAGTTTAAATACAACAACCCTCTTTCAGTCCATTTAATGCTAAGCAAACATTTCTCTCAAGCACTATTGACTATTCTGCAATGATTTATTACACAGCTAAAGCTTTTCAGTAGATAATTCATTGGTAATACGTCATACATGACTGATGGGAGGCTTTTCTGCTGCCTTTTCAGATACAGAACGCCGATGATGTCTTGATCACACCGCTGGAGAAGTTTCGCAAAGAGCAGATCGGAGCGGCCAAAGTAAGTTCTTAGAGGCCCATTGTGAGTTAATGTTGTACGTGTCAGCGGAAAGTAATTTTTACCTACGCCACGACAGGATCCTATACGGTCGGTATAGGTCTCTGAAACCCTGCAGGAAAGGGGGGAAATTGCAAACACCTGTTGAAGACGAGAGCAGCCAAATTATAGCCAGATACTGTAATGGGACATTTAACAACATGAAACGATCAGAGGGCACGTTTTAAGCAGACTCTGGTTAAAGCTTGACTCTTTCGAGGAGATTAGCTTGTTGTGCTGCTGATCTGTGAATGTGACCCTTCAGCTGGAGCTCTGCCTGTTGAGCTCAAACATTCAGAGCAAGAAAAGAAAGAAAAAAAAACAGTCCATGCCTTATTTGGGTGTATTGGCCCAATGCTTTTTAGAAGGAACTCGCTCAACTTAGACATTGAGACGTGATGGAGGCCAAAGGGAATGGCAGTCCGGCTGTTCAACCTCCTGCAGATGTGTGCATGCGTGTTCAAAGCAAAACACTCAACGTCTCAGTCTCACGGTCAATTTCAAATTTGGAATTGTTAGAAATGAAAAAAAAAACATTTGTATATTATAAATGTTTGTAATGTTTCATAGTTTGTTTTTGATAAAAGGATCTCTCCAAGGCTGAATTTTTTTGAATAAATGGACACTATGGCCCCATTTACACTAATGCATTTTCGTTTTAAAACGCATAAGTCTTGCTACGGTTACGCCCTCCGTCCACACTACGCCGGAGTTTTCGAGTGACGAAAACGGAGCATTTTGGAAACGCTGAAGAGCTCGTTTTCATTCTAAAATGCTGCTGCTCCATCTCAGTGTAGATGGGGAAAACTGAGACATCTGAAAATGAAGACGGGACTGCAGACATTCGCCTCTCTAATTGGGACTTTTCCTCAATATTAAGTAGCCTACACACACAGTTCAGTCCTGCATCCTTTCCTTGTAAGTTCAGACTTTGCAAGTTTGATATGGACTCCCGAGGACATGTCGGTAAATCTCCAAAGGTAACAGTGTACTTTATAACCTCATTCACATCATCCTGGATACGTACGTTGTTTCACTATCTTAACAATAAAATTAAAACATGATATAAGGAACTGCTATTTTCATTTTGATGTTAGCAATTTAACAGACAGCAGAAATGTTGAGGCGTCGTGTTGCATATATGAGCGTCACCTTTCATTTTCATTAAAAATACAAAGCATGCCCTCTCTTTTGCTGAATATCAGTTTTAATAATCAATAATGGTCATTTTAACACTATAACGTACAATAAGTTTATACATTATAGGAAATAAAGGCAAACAATCGGTCAATATACAGAATGTACAAGGTTACATTAATTAACTTATCTTCGCGCTCAGCCAAAACACAATACCTTAGAACAAGTAATAGATGCGAAAGACCAAAGTCGGGAATATGTCGTTAGATATAGACAACAAGAAGAATTAAATATCATGTTTAACAAATATAATGAGCTTGTATCCAGTGGTAGATCCTTAATGAGTAGTTTGTCGAGCACAGCTCTCATCTGGCTAGATATGCTGCAGCGCATGCCAGAGTGTATGTGTGTGTGGTCACGTGATGTGCGTTTCCAGCAGTGTAATGTGGATGAAGAGTTGTTCAAAAACTCTAGTGTGGACACGGACCGTTTTCATTCTAAAACACCATTTTAAAACTAAAACCCACTAGTGTAAACGGGGCCTATGTAATAGGTAGGGATGTCCAGATCCAATTACTTGATCAGAAATCGGGCCCGATCACACGGTTTCAGACTCTATTGGAATCGGACGTAACCACCCAATCAGACCTCAAATAAATATATATACTGTATGTACTCTGGTTAAATTAATTAAATTTTACACATCTATAATTATGCGGTAGCACAGAGTTAGACCTCTTTCTTGACATCACTTTGTTGCAGAGATGCTGTTGGTTAAATGCTGCCAAATTATTACACAGAAGCAGCTTGAAGCAGAGAGCGCGAGTATGTCTCTGGTCTGGAGGTCTTATAAAGTTGATGACGACAACATTGCCATAGCAAACTGTGAGATATGTAAACTTGGGATTACCTGGCAGGTAGTTTAAGTTGAGGTGCTATTTGTAATGATATTAGATTTTTATATGTACTGTTGCTCTAAAGTCCAAAAGTGAAGAGTTAATGTTATTCATTACTTGATTGTTTAAGTTACCTCACAGAAGAGCTCTGTTTGTTAACAGAGTTGTTAAAGGTTAAAATAAGGTGAATTAAATAAAAAATAATGAACATCCTGATCTGTTCTTCATTTTTATTTTTTTATGTATTGTAGAAGTATCGGATCAGGTTTAATATTTTTGTTTAATTGGTGGTATTTTTTCAGGATTCTTTAATGAATGATATAGTTCAAAAGAATACAAATTAGAACTGTTTGTAAAGGCCTTTGTCACATTTAATTAATTTTAGGTTTTGAATAAATATTTAAAATTTAAATGAAATGCTGAATGGTTATATATATTATTTATTTACTTATTACATATTTTCTGTGTTTAAAGGGGTGGTCCAGAGTGTATTTTTAAGGCTTGGCTGTATTTATAAGATGCAAAGCAATTTGTACTCATGCTTCACTTGTAGAAAATCATGTGTAGATGAGCATGTGTAAGCAATATAAAGCGTTCACATATCTTTTCCAAGTTTGTAATTTCACATGTAGAACTCAGGGAAAGCATAGAGAGACACTGCTTGCACTGCTGAAGATTGTGGGTGTTTACAGCGGTTTGACTGATAAATATGAATTTGTAGCTAAATTGTTAATGGTGCCAAACAGCATTTCCTGTTGTTTACATACTTGTTTATATCCTCGCTACAACATACCGCTAATGCTATAAACTGTGCATGTAATAGACCAATTTTAACAAATAAAAACTCTTACAGATTGTAGCTCAAAATCCACAGCTTCTGCTAATATGGTTGGAGGACTTTTAACTGAATCCAGCACTGAACTAAGAGAGATTCTGGAAGCTGTCCTTTGTCAAATGCTTGCTATATATATTTTTAGAATTCTCTGGAACATAATTAAAAAAATAATTGTAAGCACTTTTTTCTTTGTGTTGTGTCCTTAAAAGCCAAAATAGAGAAACAGAACAAGCTCTGTGGTAAAAGCAGCGTTTGGAAGGCATTTTAGTTTTCTCTGCTATACAGGGGTGATAGCGTTCCGGCACCACGCCGGATTTCCGGCGTACTGTGGCTGCGGGGGAAAAAAAATCAGGTTCACGGATATTGATCTGTCATTTCTCTAGATTCACAGAATTCACTCACTGCTACTGATTAATTGTGTAATTTAGAGAGCTTTATAAATTATAACGGATCTTTGTGAGATCTATATGAACTAAGATTAGTGACGCTTTTTAGTGATAATAAGAGGAGCCTGCTTTGCACTTTCCAGGCTATAATCCATTCAGAATTTGTATGAAACTTTCGTTTTCGGCACATATACGCTGATATGTTTTGGGAATGACATCTGCATATTTACGCTGGGTTTATTCTCGAAATAACGGTGAAGCAATAGACGGGACAAAAATATATTTCCCCCTTCTCCTTAAACAACTTAGTGTTTCAGCTATGAAATAGTTCAGTTTTGTATGTAGCCTAATGGCAAAGTGTTTATATTTAGTTTCGTTTTTTATTCGGCTTATTTAGAAAAACGTTTAGAGCATTTTTTATTCGTTAAAAATACGTTTTTTTTTAACGAACAGCGCCCAGCGGAAGACCATCATTGTCTGTTTGATCAGTTTGCCTTCTCAGATCATCACGACTTGCCTAAAATAAAAGATATAAAACAGTTCAAGTATAAAACAATGGTAGCTTAAACGTAAGAAGAATGTGTGCTATTAGGCGCATAGTTTGCTTATAAAAAGCTTGCAGGACATCGAGGCGCCAGAGCAATCACTTGCATTTTTTCAGTGGGAGCAATTTAAAGTTATCCGTCATTTTTGCTCACAAAGTACGAGTAATACATCAAAAAACGTTACAGCGTTTTTATAAAATAAAGAAAACCAAATTTATGCGCTTTCTGTCGTCTGGTTTTTGAACAGGAGCGCTTAACAAAATGAAGCAAAATGTATATGCCTCACAGACATAATAAATATATTTATAGAAAGCTTTAAATTATTACTTAACGAAATAAAACAAATCGAAAACAAAAAAACTCCTTCATGTAATCCGTAAAGATGAATTTCTAAAGGCGAGTCCAAGAGGAGATTGCCAGTCAGGATCTTTGCGACACTGACTCAGAATAAGTTTATTAATAAATAATTAAGATATGTCTTTACTCTTTCCTCGACACATTCATTGTTATTTGTTTTTGCCGGTGCTTGGGGCGAGTTTTAGCTTATTGTGTGCGCTTGAACGCGGATTCACAGTAGCAGTTTTAACATGGAGTGACACGACATCTGACGTACAGATGACACTGTGTAGTGACCTGTGTCACTCAGAGTGTCGCGCTGCATGTCACTGCAGTGACATCGACACCCGGCGAAGCTTATGACATTAATTAACACGAGCAAAACCATATTTAATCATCACGCGACATTTAACCTAATTTATCGCGTCGCAAGTTAGTTTATTTGCTGAGCTACTCCACGATGTTTTAATTTAAACGCATTTATTTTATGTATTCGTAGTCATACTTCCGTACCTAATATAGTCATTTGACAGTACATGTCAGTCAAATTTATTGTGGCATGCTTATGTATGGGAGGGGTTACACTTATCTGTTGTACTGTATATTATTGCATCCTGGCAGTTCCTTTGTTCCCTACAATATGGACTTCTCTATGTTTTTAATTCATTCATTTGTTTTATTATTTAACTTATTTTCATTTTAAGGTTTTTTAAATAATATCCTTTAAAAAGTTATAATAAAATGCATGTTGAAAACTCATAACATATATGCATGTAAGATAACAGGTGTCATTTGCCTAATGATTTTTAAATATTAAAGCAAAGAGACTTATAAGATTAATGTGCTTATAACGTGCTTATACTGACACCTACTGGCACATGTCACAAGATCACTGACACTGGCATGTGTCACTGACATTACTGGCATGTGTCTAAAAAGAGCCACTTGACAATAATGATGATCAGGGTTACACATAGGCTGTTAATATATTTGGGCCCAGGGGCCCACACGTTATGTGTTAAAAGTGCGTTGCATACATAGTACCCCCACCCCTACTCACCTCAGGGGCAAGGAAAAAAAGTTCAGGCTCAGGAATTTTTTCCACTATCAGCCCTGGCTATAACATTACATCTTCGCTGCACAGGGTGTATGCTCATGGGGAATGCTGTAACCGGAAGCCCTTGTGATCTCACTAGCCGGGATGTATGTTTTGTAGTCTCCAAACTTTGTTCGCTGTAGGCTTTGCTAAGCTAATTCTGTAAAAGCCAAGGACAAGGTCTCTCTTTGCATTGAACTTTGAGCATCTTACACTCAGGGCTGCTGTTTATGTTTACACAGCTACATTACACATCAACTAAGTTTAAAATGTGATATCGTAGTGGACCACCCCTTTAATGTATTATTTATCATATAAATACGTAATCACTACAAATATTATCCCAATTCACTCCTTTTGGATACAGTAAATCACTGTAAACAATCTTAACCCAATGCAGCAGAAAAATCTAGTCTAATTTATTGAGATGCACCTATATATTATATAATTTTGTAAATTATTTTTGTATTTGCATATTTGGTGTACTTTATGAATGTATTTTTAGTCTCAGCATGACTGGAAAAGCACATTTTATGTCTCAAAGCAAGCAAAAGATTATTACATATACAGTACAGTGGTTACACGATTACAGAAATATGTACTCATGTTCATCTTTTAAAGTGTTTAATAAATGTGATTAAAAACAGTGCCATTAATACAGTATAATAAACATTTGTTTCACCATATTCATAAAGATTTATTTACAATTTAGATGCTGTCAGTACATCAATATTGTATATGTTCAGTGTCTTGGAAATCATAAGTAAATGTGCATTTACTAGAACCACACTCTTTAACATCACTGTTGCACAATATATCATTAATCTATATCTGCCGACTGCCGTTGTCGTTCAAAGATATTTTCCCCAGTAGGTGACTGTATATCCATCTTTTTAAGAGCCCTGAACAGAATAAGCACACATTCCTCGAGAGAATGATGTCATCTCCAGCCTGCAGATGTACACAGAAACTGGACTAAGCATGGCAGAATGAGATTCCTCCAGTTTGTTGTTTGGCGAGCTCAGTCTGCGGTTCAGACGTGGTGTCCATTAGAGGGTCATGGGAAAGGTTGAGCTGATGTCAAACAGGAAAAACAAACAGCTTCAAACTGGTTTCATTTGCAGTCTCCAGAAAGCCATTCTCAGTGCTGGAGGTCTGCAGCACAAAATAGTAAATGGCTGCCGTAAATGTGGCCACAGGAAGTGAGGGTTTGTCTACTGTAAACATCTTTTCTCAGCCTCATTTAGAGCCATAGGATGTTTCGCAGAATTGGAAAACATTTAATGTTTGTTGTTTTGTCTTTATCTGTGGTTACATGGGTGCTCGGAGTCATAATCTTTATCACGCTCAGGGATGATGGTACTGCGGTGACTAATGAAGTGTGTAAATCTCACGTGGGTCTCACAATGCTCATGTCATGTTCTGTTGTGCTTTAAGTTGCTGATTAGTCTTTTGGTTCCTTTTTGCCTGATTTTGCTGGTTCATTTTAGATGGTCAGATTATGATGAATGTAGTTTTTTTATGTTTTTAAGATTGAAAAATTGTAAACAACAATAAAGCTCCAAAGAAAATGTTTCAAATTTTTAGGTTAGGTAAAACTAAAACATCTGAGAACATTATTTAAAAATTATATTACATTTATTCTAGTAAAAAATTGTATTATAAAATATTGTTAATTCTACTACTACTACTACTACTACTACTACTACTAATAATAATAATAATAATAATAATAATAATGACATTTGAAATTTTACATTTTCTCTGGATTTATGATTTGTAGTTTTGTTTGAATAGGAAAACTGTTCTGTAAACTACTGATGAAATATCATTAAATAAATAAATAAAAATAGCCAGTTTCAGCATAAAAAAATACTTTATCAGTGATAATAAATTGGTCAAAAACATTTGTTGTTCAACCCCCAAAATACATGTCTACATGACGGTTTTATTTGATATTTGGAAGAAAGGCTATCAGACCTTTATATAGTAATATAATAAATAAATAAATAAATATTATAAACAAATCTTAACATTGGCTTCAAATCCAGACCTCGTAAACAGTGTTGGGGAAAGTTACTTTTGAAAGTAATTCATTACATTATTGAGTTACTCCTCAAAAAGTAACTAGTTGTGTTACTTTTTATAGTAAGTACTGCATTATGTTACTTTTGAGTTACTTTTTATTACCTGGCTAAGGCTGAACTTGTTTTTTTTTTCTTTCTACTTTTATCAACGCACTGTAAAATGTACACATACATTAAAAAAACACCTCAAAAATAATATTTTAGGATAAAGTTATCCGAGAACTTCCTGACCCCCAGAGCTATACATGCTGTATAAACAGATTATTAAAGGTTGAAAGCAATATGTTTGCAACTTTTGTATAATTTGTCTTTAAGTAAAATCAGTTTCCATTGAGACAATCCACTTTTTCTTTTCTTCAATGCGTTCAAAATACTGAACATGTTCTCTCATTGACTGTGTGGTTTATTGTGACTTCTTTCATTTTAATTCAGAATTTATTTTTTTTAAAAGCAAATTAATTAAACTAAAAAGTAACTTAAATTTATATTACTTATTTTTTAGTAATACATTACTATACTCGTTACTTAGAAAATTTATATTATTACATAACTTGCGTAATGCGGTACCCCAACGGCTGCTAGTAAATATGAAGAAGCTGAAAACTTTCAGGTCTCTATTATTTTTATTTAGAAAAAAAAATTATACATAAATGGTCATGTAAATTACAGTTAAAAAAAATATTTTTAGAGCTTTTAGCAAAAAACTTTACAGTCATGTGTGTTTAATAAAATAAAATGTTGTTATTCTGTAAACTACGATTAACATCTCTTCAATTTTTTAGATTGTGATTTCTACCATTTTATTTGAACTTACACTTGGTGGAATTATCATGATTTTCAAAACATTTTTTTTTTTTTACCAATTGTCATTTCCAAACAAACAAACAAACAAACAAAAAATCTTAACATGACATTTATTTTTATTTAAATTTTGGAATAAAAACAAGATAATAAATTGGTCCAAAAAAATTCATCCCTCAAAATACAACTCTACATGACATCTTTATTGGACAATTGAAGAAAAAGCTATCAGACCTTTATAATATAATATAATAGATAAATAAATAAATCATATAATACAAATATTAAGACTTTACTCAAATTCAGACCTAGTAAACAAAGAGAAGTTGAAAACTAGAAAGCTAAAAGCTAGTCGACTTGGCAGCTAGCTCTCCGCAACTCTCACATGGTCACCTACTGAAGAACTTTATAGAATAAAACCAGTATCAACAGTTTATTCAAACCCATACCTAATAAATCCAGACAGAGACGTTCAAATTGTTTCATAGTTTTTTATATTAAAGATTATGCATGATACAGATATTACATAATACAATAAAATTAACCATGTGTGGCTTTTAAGCACTGCAAATACAGATTCTCTGGCAGTCGAAATATCACTTTAATTCTGCTGCCTTGAGTCAAATATGAGCCTGCCATCTACTGGTTATTACATTTCACTGTTTGTTTTTGTCCTATCAAATGAAAATAAACAAATTAAAGCTCTGCTGACGTTTCCATGAGACTCTCGCGTGGTGTTTGTTTACAAATCTAGCATTTTACATAACGTCTTATCTCTGCAGAAGCCATTTATCACAATAATTACAGTACAGGAAATTCCAACTCATGTCACCTTCTTTTTTCTTTTTATATAAAGGAAGGGAAGAAGAAATTTGACAAGGAGACAGAGAAGTATTACACCGTTTTGGAGAAGCACTTAAGCCTGTCTTCAAGAAAGAAAGAATCACTTTTGCAAGAGGTAACATGAATGGTCATTTATTGCTACACAATATTAACAAACACCCAGAGTATAACACTGTTTTTGAATGATTTTGTAGGCAGACACACAGATCAGTAAGGAGAGACAGGTCTTCTATGATGCCTCTCTCGAATATGTTTTCAAAATCCAAGAAGTACAAGAGAGGAAAAAGTTTGAGTTTGTTGAGCCGGTAAGATGCGCTTATTTATGATGAAATCAGATATACAATGAAAGCTTGCTTATACTAAGAGAGAATTACTACTTCACTTTTTTTTTCCTTTTAATCTAATGGTACATCTTGTAACCTCAGCGATGTTGTTTCTCTAGAGAACATATAACGATTTAAAAAAAAATGATGATAACAGCAACATCCTGCAGCTCCGTCTAGATGACATTGCTTTTATATTAAAGCTGCACGGTTCTGGATACAATGAGAATCACTATTTTCTTGTTTGGACTAGGAATCATGATTCTAACACAAACTGTAAATAGCTCGTTGAACAAAATAACACACAAAAATGTGAAAAAAAATGTATCTGCTGAGCTCTATTTTACAAAAAAATTATAGTTGTATAAAATATATGACACATAAAATAAATCAGACTTCTGAAAAATAATGAAGTAATGAAAGACTTCTTTCATTACTGAATGCATTTTTGAAGAAACTCTTAAATCTGTGGTCCTCAACCACCAGGCCAATTGGTACCAGGCCGCAGAAGAAATCATCAATTATTTCCGTTTTATTTATTGTCTGAACAATCTTTTATTTTGAAAAAGGACCATATGCTCTCGGTTACATCTCAGTCACTTGAGCGCCCAAATTTAACCCACAAGCAGCAAAATAAGTAAGAAACAGACATTTTTGGAAAGTGTCTTTGCTAAGGGAAAGGGCCCAAGAACTGCTAAGGAATAAATACACAACCCATTCGTGTCCCAAGACCCATTTTGTGTCTTTTGTAGTTTTTGTGCAAGTTTGTTATTTCCAATGGAGGTGCGAGACTTGCAAATAGAGTGGCATGATGCGCTAGCGTCTTCCAGACGCACACAGTTAAATGAATCCCGTGATCAGCTTCAGCTTGTATGGAATATACACATTTCGGTAAGACTAATTAACACCCAAACAGTGCAGTGCTTTGTCAGTTTCTTAAAAAATAAAACTTATATCAATGTTTTAGTGACAGCAATGTTTTGTTAGCTTGTCATCCTCAGCGTTGACTGGTCCGTAGTGATAAAAAGGTTGAGGACCACTGTCTTAAATGATTCAATGACATACATTTTTAATGGTTACTTGTCGCCATCTACTGGCGTAATGATGTAATTGGTGCAATCTTTTTTTAAATTAATTTCCAAAATTACAAAATTAAACTCAATTTCAAAAATATCAAAAATCTGTATTAAGTTCTGAATTTTTCAGCACTGTAAATTCATATTGAAGTTTTATAAATGACACAAAATTGTTAAATTCTTTTATAAGAGATCTTCTGGCTTTTAGATAAAAAAAACATAAACAAATGACCACTTAAACTGAAGGCTGCTGCAGACTTTCATGTCACTATGATGACGTATTTCCAACAGAGACTGAATATTAAGTAGGGTTTTTTTTTTTTTTTTTTGCACTCTTCCTCTCATTTTTAAAAAAAAAAAATTGAAGCAAACTAACTTAACACCCCAGACCATCATCACAAAAGGACTTCCTTTCCAGAGCAGAAGTAGAGGATCAGATTTTGACAGAGGATTACCAATACAAACAGTTTTATAATTGGATTAACAGCACAGATTAATTGTTTGTCTTATGACTAAAAATGTGCACTAGTAAAATTAAAAGTATATATTTCATGCAGACTTTAAGGGCTGTTAGTTGCTTTCACTGTGTGATTTTAATCTTTACCACAAACGTCAGTGTTTATGTATATACCCAAACTACAAACATTTATACCAGTAGTCATTTAAGTTATAGTGCAAAACGAATAATACTGGTTAAACGATTAAAGACATAAGCTGTTCTATAATCATGCATGCCGATTGCTCTCACTGGGTCAAATACATGTTCGTTTACCACGGTAACATGTTAATGTACCGCTGTATGTACCGCTTTGAAATAAATGGGAACACTTTAGTTTAAATACTAATTCTCATTATTAACAAGTAGCTTATTACCTGCCAGTTATTAAGATATTGGCTGTTTTAAAGTACATATTTTGCAATCTCTTATTCTACGTTCCTAATTCTACCTATTACCTAAACCTACTACCTTAATAACTATTATTAAGCAACAAATTAGGAGTTTGAGGCAAATGTCATAATTAGTGGTTTATTAATAGCAAGAATTATACTTCAAAATAAAGCGTGACCAAATAAACATCCAAATTATTTATAATTAAGGTTAAATTGAGATCACAGTCTTTTAACGATTATTAAGGTGGCTCTATTTTCTACGACTCTTCAACCGGCCTGTGTGTTTCTCTCAGCTGCTGGCCTTTCTCCAGGGGCTGTTCACTTTCTACCATGAGGGTTACGAGCTGGCCCACGAGTTTGAGCCGTACAAGCAACAGCTCCAGTTCAACCTCCAGAATGTAAGAGCCGTCAGATGACGTGGGTCTGTATGAGCCGTGTTTGTATTCGGCTGTTGAGTGAACATGTAAAACTGGTGATGATAATGAGAATCAGTCATGTGGTATTTGTTGGAAGTGTTTATTGTTGCATGTGGAAGAAGCAAATGTCCCTGTTGAACCATGAGAATGTTGTTTTGATGTTCTATCCAAAGACGAGAAATAACTTTGAGAGCACAAGACAGGAAGTGGAGAATCTGATGAGAAGGATAAGATCAGCAGAGCAGGACTTTAAAGCTCCGGGACAGTGGACGATGGAGGGCTTTCTCTATGTACAGGAGAAACGTGAGTGACTTCCTGTGTCAGAGCATCTATAAATAGTCTGTGTGTTTATTATTTAGATATATAAGTTTATATTATATTTATAAATATTTGATTTGAATAAAAATAGAGGTAAATATTTGTGCAAATATTTTTTTGGAAATATTTAATGAAAAATACATTTATATTATGTTATATTATATTATATTATATTATATTATATTATATTATATTATATTATATTATATTATATTATATTATATTATATTATATTATATTATATTATTTATTGATTCATTTTCTTTTCGACTTAGTCCCTTTATTTATCCTGGGTCGCCACAGCGGAATAATCCGCCAACTTATCCAGCATATGTTTTACACAGCGGATGCCTTTCCAGCTGCAACACATCATTGGGAAACATCCATATACACTCAATCACACTCATTCACTGCAGACAATTTAGCTTACCCAATTCACCTATAGCGCATGTTTTTGGATTTGTGGGGGAAACTGGAGCACCCGAAGGAAACCCACGCAAACACAGGGAGAATATCCACACAGAAATGTCAATTGACCCAGCTGAAGCTCGAACCAGTGACCTTCTTGCTGTGAGGCGATCAATATTAAATGAGGATATGCTGTGAGGATTATATTATATTATATTATATTATATTATATTATATTATATTATATTATATTATATTATATTATATTATATTATATTGAATTATATTATATTATATTGAATTATATTATATTATATTATATTATATTATATTGAATTATATTATATTGAATTATATTATATTATATTATATTATATTATATTATATTATATTATATTATATTATATTATATTATATTATATTATATTGAATTATATTATATTATATTATATTATAATATATTATATTATATTATATTATATTATATTATATTATATTATATTATATTATATTATATTGAATTATATTATATTATATTATATTATATTGAATTATATTATATTATATTATATTATATTATATTATATTATATTATATTATATTAGTCAAGTTAAATTCTATTCCCTATTAAATTAAGCACTTAGCATTAGTATTGGAAAAAGTTATTATTATAAGTATGAATAAATATGCTGATTTTGGTGCTTAAGAAACTTTTATTATTATACATTCTGAATTAACTTGTGCTGCTTAATATATTTGCATATGTGGGGAAAAAACAAAGAAATAGAACATTTTATGGATAATTATAGATAATTTCATTGTAACAAGACTTTACTTTTAATTTTAATCTGTTTAAAATCATGTTTTTGTCAGTATTAACTAATAAAAGTCTTTCTGACCCAAAACATTTCAAAGAATGTTTATATTGAGATTATTTGTTTGAAATGGATTTGCCATATATCAGTTCTAGTTCACTGTACATGTGCACTAATGAACATCTGTTTTCTGTTGAAGGACCTTTGGGTTGCACATGGACTCGTCATTACTGCACATATGAAAAAGGCACCAAGATGTTTACCATGAGCAACTCTGAGCTCAAGACTGGAGGCAAACAGGTATTTTCAATGTTCTGCATTTACATGTGAAGCAATTTTCTCATCATTAGCATACTGAGCTATAGCTTGTGTTCTGTTCGCAGAATGGACTGATCATGAGCCCCCCTGAGATGTTTAAGCTAAAGTCCTGCATTAGACGCAGGACTGACTCTATTGACAAGCGCTTCTGCTTTGACATCGAGGTGGTGGAAAGGTGTGTTGTTTTTTCACCTCATTGAAAGAAATGCTGGAGTTTGATTTGTGTCTTTTGCTCTTTTCAGCCTGTCATTTTCAACGCTCTTGTCTTCTTTCCTGTAATCTCCTCTTTTCTCTTCTCATAACTGTAGAGGTAACCCCTCTGAAGGGCCTCTGTTCAGTTATCTGCAATGTTTCTATAAAGCTCATCGGTATGTTACGCTTTTATCCAGAAGTGCTAACCTTTTCTGAGAGTATCACTTTTAATTCATAACGCCTTTTTGTGCCGTGTTTTAGTAACATTTTAATGCTTTGTAGCAGTTCCCTAAACAAACTAAACAAAAAGTTCTCGGTTTGTAATATTTAAATTACTAATAAATAAAAAAACTACTGATTTGTCATGCTTATTTACTGACTGAATGTTTCTACAGGTGGTTTGTCAAGCCCTCTAACCTGTTTGAAGCGCACTTCATAAATACACAGTGTTATTTACTTATTTATTTTAGATATGGAGTGATTGTAAGAAAGTGACTGGTGCAAGTGTCAGAGGGTGTTTTCTACAGGTGGTTTGTCAAGCCCACTCACCTGTGTGAGGCACACTCAGAACTAGGGTTGGGTTGATAGATGATGCCATTGTCCATCGCAGATGGCCGATAGACATCACAATGCTAAGCCCCATTGTGATCCTCTGCCCCACCCCTGTCACAGCAGCAACACTCTCGCGAAAAATAACCACTCAGGCCCCGTTTACACTAATACATCTTAGTTTTAAAATGGCATTTTAGAACAAAAGCCATCCACCTCGACACTGGCATTTCATCTAGCATTTGTGAACAGCCCTCCTTCCAGACTATACCACTGAAAACGCACATCATGTGACCACACATACACACACAAACACTCTGTCATGCGCTGCAGGGTACACGTGCGTCTGAGCTCCAGCAGTCGGCCTGTGCTTTGAGCACAAAACAGAGAGCATTGCGTGTCGGACAGTTTATCAAGGATAAACTGCTGGATCGTGCCTCACTATAGTTGTTAAACGTGATATTTAATTAATCATGTCTTTAATTAACGACTCCTCTGTCTTTTAAATCTATCAGGTACCGTGTCGCAGCGTCAGTACACTGCTTTAATCCTTCGCTTTCACGCTTGTACCTAGTAAATTTAGTAAAAATCTTAGACACTGTTGGTTGGTTGCTGTTGGTTGTGCACCTTTTTTACCAACCAAGTTTGTCGACACCATTATAACGACACAGATCACTCTGCCTATTTATGCCAGAGTCCTGCAGAAAAAGTGATTGACAGGTGGTAATTTGTGTGTAACTTATCTTTATTTATTTATGATTTGGTTATGGGTAAAACAAAGACAATGCGGGTCAGGTAGTTGAAACGGTAGGCTACAAATAATTAATTCATTATAAATTAATTATTCATAAATAATTAATTCACTGCTGCTTACGATGACAATGCCATTGTCCATCACGATGTTTTACATTAGACATTATACAATGCCAAATTGGTCGACATCACCCTATCCTCCTCAGAATTGTATAATGTTTTAAGGTTGTTGTGTGGTGTGCTGGGACATAAAATATCTTAACATTTAATACAAAAGCCCTGAACCAGACACAATGCAACCTGTTTTACAGAATACAGAAGTCTTTAGCACATAACGCTCATTTATTTTTTTCTGCTGTGATGGAGATGATGAATAATGAATAAATAAGCGCTACATAGTTTGACTAGTTCTATTGCTTGCATGAATCTGTTTCCTGTCTGCTTCAATGCAGCATCTGGATTCAGTTTGCAGGCTTTGGAAGCATCTCATGTTTGTTTGAGTTGGATGTTTTTAAAAAGATGCTTTTATTAATTAGGGTGGGGCAATGTCGACCAATTTGGCATCATACGAGGTCTAATGTGAAACATCACGTTGGACAACGATATCGTCCAACATGATCGTCCAAGTATTCATAACTTAATTATTTACGAATACTTAATTCATTCATAACTAATTAATTATTTGTAGCCTACTGTTTCAACTACCTGACCTGCATGCTCTTTGTTATACCCATATCCCAATCATAAATAAATAAAGATAAGTTACACACAATTTACCACCTATTAATTACTTTTGCCGCGGGACTCTGGCATAAATTGGCAGTGTGGCAGAGTGGCAGAGTGATCTGTGTTGCTATAATGGTGTCGACAAACTTGGTTGGTAAAAAACGTGCACAACCAACAATTACTAAGTACAAGCGTGAAAGCAAAAGAGCAGTGTACTGATGCTGTGACACGTTAAAAAGACAGAAGAGTCGATGAATAGAGACAAGATTAATTAAATATCACGTTTAACAACTATAGTGAGACATGATCCAGCAGTACATCCTTGATAAACTGTCCGACGTGCACTGCTCTCTGAGATTTTGTGCTCAAAGCACCTGCTAACTGCCTAGAGCTCAGACGTGCATATATGCTACAACGCATGCCAGAAGGTGTGTGTGTGTGTGTGTGTGTGTGTGTGTGTGTGTGTGTGTGTGTGCGTGCGTGCGTGCGTGCATGTGCGTGCGTGTGTGTGTGCGTGTGTGTTTGTGTGTGTGTGGTCACGTGATGTGCATTTTCAGCTGTTTAGTGTGGACTGAGATCTTTTCAGAAATGCTTGATGAAAAGCCAGTGTGGACGTGGATCGTTTTCGTTCTAATGATAGAAATCGAGAAATCGAGATTCTATCGGCCATTGGCGATGGACGATGGCATCGTCTATTGACCCAACCCTATTATTAATAAACATATAAATACCAGGGTCCCCGCGGGTCCTTAAAAAGTCTTAAAATGTCTTAAATAAAATTTTCGATTTTTAAGGTCTGAAAATGTCTTAAATTCTGTAATTTTCCATAAGGAGGTCTTAAATTTCATGTGGGATCTTAAATATCATGTCCGACTCGACTTATGGCGGCAAATCAATGCCAATATAAATCGAGCGTCGCGGTGATGTTTGCGCGCGAGGAGAAGTGAACCGTGAGCAGATTACAGGTCTACACGCGAGTAAACTACAGCCCGCGAGCGCACAGGGGATCTTCGAGCGCGCTCAACTGATCTAGCGCGAGAAAACAAGTCCCGCGCGCGCACATCATCATCTGTGCGCACGATGGACGCTCTCGCGAGCGAGGTCATGCCTACAGAGCGCGCGCGATCAGTTCTCTTCGCTCGCTCGCTGGTTCTTCTCTCTGCTCGCGCAAAACATTTTGGATTTTTGTGAGTCCTAGGGCGGGACTTGGTTAGCCGGGATTGGACGCAGGTAAGCTAGTTTCCCCGTTAAATAAAAATATATAGGATATCTTATCATAATGTCACAGTGTGAAACTAATAGACTTACTTTCTCAGTAATAATAGGTGACGACTTACTTTCAATAATGAGATATTTCTTGTAATAATTAATCTCATAATAATGCCTATTCTTACCATCATGACCAAGTCATATAATGACATATCAAAATAATGAGATATATTCTTGTAACAAACTTTATTACTTGGGAGAGAAAGAGAGAGTTATACCATGTGGCAAAAGATCTCTCCATTAAACAGAAATTGGGGAAAATATACATTGGCTAATAATTCAGGACGAATAATTCAGACTTTAAATGTGTGTTTTGAACCACTTGATTAAGTTTAGCACCTACATTTAAACTGAACTCAAACCAAACGTGTTCAAATTTATAAAAATCTTTTTTTTTCTAAGACTCGTTGTCCTTGACTCATTTTCTATGAAGAACAAGTCAGAATAAATTAGATGGACAATAGTATACAAAATAGGCTATACATGCATGCAGTGCATAAAGTACAAAGGTTTATAGTAAATATATTGCCATTATTCTGTTATTCCACTATACAGTTAAAGTCAGAATTATTAGCCCGCCTGAATTAATAGCCCCCTGTTTATTTTTATCCTAATTTTTATTTACTTCAACTGCATATGTGACCTTTAAGATGTGGGCCTGTCGTATAGAAAGTAGTATTTGTATGCCTCTGAAGTGGAATGATGTAATGGATAGTGAGTAAAGCCAAACGAAGATTGTAGAAATTAAATTGTTGCTCAATAGGTGGCGATAAACACCCATCTGAATGTCTGTCACTGTATTTTTTATGTTTAATTGGGCTAATCATTTTTGATTGAAGTCTTTATATGCAGGTTATTCAATCATTAACTAAAAATGAGATTGAAAAATATATATAATATATAGATATATATATTTTACACTGATCTATATTACAAACAATGTTAACAATTATAATAATATACAAAGCTGCACTGCACATATAGTATGCATTGTATGGAAAGATCTAAAACGCAAATAAACTCTTCTGAAGACAATATATCCTAGAAAGATCAACCCCAAGTGTAATAATGAGCACTGCTGTTGTGGTTAATAACGAAGTAAAATACAACAAACCAGACAAGTGCTGCACGGACAAATCAAATGGGTTCAGAAAGTGTTACAAGAATGCAAGTCATTATTTTAGAAGATTAATTTTTATTATTTGACTGTTTCTCGAGATTGAATCCTCATAAAGTTCTCAGAAAGTTTCTTATGATTATGACTTGCAAATTGTATATATATTTAACGGCGTGATCTTTTAACCTGCGTCCAATCCCGGCTAACTTCCGGAAAGGCAGAGTAGCCAATAGCGTTAGAGATAACAAGTAAACCAAGTCAACCAAGTAATCTGCTCACGGTTCACTTCTCCTCGCGCGCAAACATCACCGCTGCGCTCGATTTATATTGGCATTGATTTGCCGCCATAGATTTGCCACGATACTTCACCACATCATTCTGTGTTGACACACTGAACATTTTCCTGTTTTTTTTTTTTTTTTTTTTTTTTAGGTAAAGTCTTAAATTTTCATTTTAGAGGACTTAAAAAGGTCTTAAAAGGTCTTAAATTTCCTGTTAAAAAATGTGCAGATACCCTGAATACACTTGCATCTTATTTTGACACTTTACATCAGTAGTTAAAAATTAAAGGCATAGTTCAAACCAAATTTCTGTCCTCATTCATAATTAGTAATTTGGCAGAAATCAACTTTGTCCAAATTAACTTACAATTGAAAAGACATACAGCATTCAGAGATATTTTTATGTACTCATCCTCCAACCTGTTTGACTTTTTTTCTACTGATGAAAACAACAAAAAGAAAGATATATTGATGAGTGTTTAAAAAAAAGCCATTTACTTTAATAGTATTTCTTGTTCTTGATGTCAGTGGCTGTTGCTTTCCAACATTCTTTGGAATATACAAATTTTAGATCCACTTGAGTATGAAAATTTATAAGGGTAGTTTTATTTTTATTGTGCAAATTGTGCCTTTAATATTCACCAATCTGTCTTGCAGGCATGGCATCATCACCCTTCAGTCTCTTTCTGAATCCAACAGACGGTTGTGGATGGAGGCTATGGATGGAAAAGAGCCGGTAAGAACATTCTGACTCTGATCCTGCTTTAATAAACACATGGCAGTTCATAGTGCAAAACCTTCACTCTAAAGAAAGACTTCTTGAAATCCTGATAAGATATTGGTTAAATAAATACTGATTAGTTGAACTAATAGCATAGGCCAGGGTGTAACTGTTCCGCTGACTGATGACAGACAGGGAAACCCATTTGAATGGTCATCATTTTTCTTTTTATTCTTTAGACTTTGGTCTCACTAACTCCCCTTTCCCCTTTTAGACGTGTAATTGTTAGTATAGAGGCTCTTTGAACTCCAGGCAGTGGAGATCATACACATGGACAGGAAAAAGATGACAGCTGAGAATTTGCACGTCTCTAATGACTGTTTGTTTTGACTCTCGTGCTGTCAGCTGAAGTTGATTGGCTTCAACTCGTTTGACCTTCATCCCACTGTTATTATTTAGCCGACTTCGTCAATTCTTATATACAAAGGATTATCGGTGCGTGTATGTTTATAGCCTGAAACTATAAATCGTGTTTTGTTTACTCGGGCATTAATTTATTTCCGTCAGATGTGGATTATGCAATGTGTATATGCTTTAAAAGGCATACATCTTTGGTGTGCTATAAACACTTGCTGGTTTCTTCTAGATTTACACCCTTCCAGCACTTCTGAGCAAGAAAGAGGAAAGTGAGTTCAGGCCTCTCATTTGTCTAATTGTCTTTGAGGTGTACATACGGTACTGTAGGCTCATGTTTATAATATTGAAACGCTCTGTGTCCACAGCATTCCTGAACGAAGCAGGTTTTAACTTTGTGAGGAAGTGTATTGAGTCTGTGGAAGCCAGAGGTGAGTCTCTGCATACTTTTTCATTTCATTTTACTCACTTGTTATTCTCACTGTTCGCTTACTTTGTGTCTGAGATTTTGCAGCTTAGGACTGTTTATTGTTAATAATTGTAACACATTTTCTTCACAAAATATTTAGAAACTTTCCATTTTAATAAAGGCATCAATACTGGCAATCTTGGCCTTGATTGTAGTCGATTGAAGAGAAAGTAAGCAGCCAGCCATTAATAGCTATTTACTAATGTTCAGTTGTTTGGGTCAAGATTTGTATTTTTTATTAATTTATTATTATTATTATTATTATTGTTATTATTATTGTTATTATTTTTTTTTATTGATACCATTATTCATCATCGGGACAGCATAAATGCTAAAACAAATGATCTTGGCTTCTTGAAAATTATTAAACAACACAATCGGTTGCTCTGATCGATCGGCTGGAGATCGGTATCGGCCAATAATCACATTTCATGACTCAATCGGCATTCTGCCGATCTCATTTTGTTTGAATGGGATAACTTAATATTCTTCAAAACTACTAGACAAGCTTACGATTAAATTCTATATCATGAATAACCAATAAAATTTAACAGCAACTGTCTCTTTAGTTTAATTTCTAAATGTTTGTATCACACAAAATCTGCAGAAAGTCTGGTCAGAGCCCCTCCCCCGGAGAATTGTCATTCTATAGCGATCGCTGATTGGCTCCTGTACTAGAAGGCGGGCTTTATTCGCCATATAGCAAATAACTGTTGATTGGCTCTTGTACTAGAAGGTGGGGCTTCATTCACCATATTGACAGTTACACTTTTCCCCATTCAAAAGTATATGATTGACTTGTCTTGTCTAATCTATAGTCTTTGGTAAGATGCACATGCTGCTCATCAGTAGTGTAACAACACCTGCAGAGATAAATGATGTGTGGGGACATGAGTGATCACTGTGCTCATGCCACAACAGCTAAAATATACAGTTTATGTAGACAATTGGCACGACTCGATGATCTCTTTGTTGCAAGTGCAACCATTTATGTCCAGTGTTTTGAGCTGCTGTGACACAAGCAGAGGGATAACCACTACCTAGTGTCTCATCGGACGTTTTGGCCTCTTCTAGAAGCTAGAAGAATATTTTTAATAATATTGCAAGTTCACTAAAACCTGGCTGGAAATATTAATGAATTTTTTTTAACTTATTTAATAATATGACTTTTTCTAATATAGCTCTAGTTGCAATATTGGCTTATTTTCTTTTAGTAAAGAAGGTATGTATTAATGTGTGCATTTTAACCTCTTGTGCATCAAATAAAGCCTACGCTCAAAACTTTTTCTTAATTGAGACATGTTGAAATCTTCATTCATCATTTGCAGTGTTTCTAAATTGCTTATTGCTCATTTCTTATGATTTTTTAAACATGTTTTATGTGTCATTGTATTTAAATCTGCATTTGAGTCCACACTAAATGATTATAAGAGACGTGTTTAAGCGATTATATGCAACATCCTTCATTTATTCTCTTAGGTAAGGAGAGATCTTCACTTAAGTATCATATTATAATATCAAATCATAAAGCTTTGAAGACCATGGCAAGGAATCAGTACTTGGTATAAGCTTCAAAAATCCTGATCGGAGCATCCCTAAACACAACTGTTTTCAACATTGATAATAATATTTCAGTGATTTCTGAAGGATCTTTTGACATTTAAGCTTAAGCAATGATTCTTAATTAATTTCATTAATTCTTAAGACCTATTTAATTCTTAATCAATTCTTAAATTAATGCAGCCTAAGCGAAGCAAAAAAGACAACGTAAAAAAATACTTTTTTCAAAAAACTATTTTAAGTTCATATAAGTTGTGTTATATGTATTAAATTAAATGTTGCGTAGTTTCACTGCTTTAACTATAAGGATAAATTCATTGCTGGAATTTGTTAAAAGATTTAATTATTGAACAACATTTTTTTGTTTACAGACAATATTTAAATTTTTATCACATTTAATTTTTTATAGTATAAAAATATATTTTCTTTTTCATGTCTAGGTATCAACACATTGGGGCTGTACAGGATAGGTGGAGTAAACTCTAAAGTCCAGCGGCTGATGACCTCAGTCTTTGGTAAAGTATCCTTCTTTTTTATGTAAAAGACATTTTTACATTGTTAGTAAACTTTAAGGGTGTTTTCCCACTTGAAGTTTGGTTCTCTTGGTTCTTTTGAATTTAAATAAGTCTGCATAAAATCTAAATGTACAATGTTTATTTTGCTAGTGCATATTCTTATTCTTTAGGTGAACAATAAATTCATGCAGTGCAATCTACTGAAAAGATTTGTTTTAGTAAACTTTAATGGAATTGTTCCTTTAGTAAATGGATTGACAACTCAGTCAGACTGAAAAGCATTTATGTAAACCTTTTTCAATCCAATTAAGCACCAAATAAAAAATTTTAAGAGGAATTTCTGCATCGTACACAAATGAAGATGTGCTGCAAATATATGAATTTCTGATGCCTGCATGGGCAACATTATACATCATCAACATTTTGCGTGACTACGAAAAGAAAAAACAGCATCCTGTTCTTATTGTGGTCTCATCTTGTGCCATCATGTCCTGCTTTTGGTTTGGTTTTAATGTATTGTTCATGTTTCAGTTGTACCAGAAAACAGCTTGTTTAAAAACATATTTTCAGTAATCTCCAGTGTACACTAAGGTTAAGATGGCACATTAGTCGCATTAGCTTCAACCAAACAAAATTGCCAAGTGTGAACACATCCAAAAAATAGACGTCTACTAGAAGCACACATTATTAGCATTAACCTTGAAGGGCTAGCTCATTCAAAAATAAACTTTGTCAAATAATTATATTTTCCAAAATGTTGATGATCGCCATTAAATTCCATAGTAGAAATAACTGCTGTGAAGTCAATGGTTTCCATCAACTGTTTCGTAATTTGTTCAGCAGAAGAGAAAAGGTTATACAGGGGATGAGTAATCAATTATGTTATTTTTGGGTAAAACCATGCTTTTTACAGACTTTTTAAAGTTAAATTCTATTTAAAATAAGTTCGCTTGACCCTTCTAGCGGCCAAAGCTCCTGCAGACTTGGACCTTGATCCAGATACCTGGGATAACAAGACCATCACCAGTGGCTTGAAGAACTACCTCAGGTTTTCAGCTAATCCTCAAACTCTTTACCTTTTAATAACAACACATTATCATTAGAAGAATGTACTGTAACTTATTCTGCTTCCTCCAGATGTCTGGCAGAACCTCTTATGACCTACAGACTCCATAAAGACTTCATCATGGCAGTCAGTGAGTTCTAGCATTGTCTCCGCTCAGTTTACTCTTCATCACATCCATCTGCGTCTTCTCTATTTAACATTTAAATGCTCTTTTTGTATTTCTAGAATCTGATGATCAGAATTACAGGGTCTGTGCTGTTCATGCGCTCGTTTACAAACTTCCTGACAAGAATAAAGAGATGCTGAATCTTCTGATCAAACATCTACACGTGTATGTAGCTTTACTTCTTGAACATTGATCTAGAAATCTGTTTACACCTGGAATCAACGTGCGTTTTTGTTTGCCAACCTGATTTTACTAAGTAGGACATGTAGCTGGATTAACATCTGTTGATCCTGGACCAACATCCCATTCAGCCAATCAGAATTAAGGGATATGTTTACATTTTAAGGCTTGTGGTTAGGTTTATGCATTTCTACATGATCGTTGGGTTTAGGTATAGGAAATAGATATGGATTAAATTCTTTAAAAAAAAATGATTTAAATGTTAATCCAGGATCACATCGTACTTGGCAAAATCATGAAGTACCACTTTTTGGTAATCCTCATATCTGATTTTAATATTAAAATCATTCAAATCAAATATCTGATTTTGATGCCTGTTCTGTTTTACATCTGATTTTCAATAATTGGTTTACTTTTAAAAAACACTCTTTGGCATAGAATAAAATGCTATCGGAATAAAAGTGAATAGTGAATTTTTGTTGTTTTAAACACGGTATAAAAGGTGTAAATAGTGAGTGCTCTTTAAATTCCACAAGAGTGTGCAAACTATGGTTTTCAAGGCTCTGTTTTGCTGTTTTTGACAGGGTTTCTACACATAGTCAGAAGAATCTGATGACCGTGTCTAACCTGGGTGTGATTTTTGGACCAACGCTCATGCGCTCTCAGGAGGAGACGGTCGCTGCCATGATGAACATCAAGTTCCAGAATATTGTGGTGGAGATCCTCATTGAAAACTACGACAAGGTGATTGTTTAAATACATATCATATAATAGAGTGCAAGGTGGGGCAATTTATTAAATATAGGGTTAGTATTGTTTACCTACTGTAGCTGCAAGGTTTACCATTTACAAGGCTTTTAAATGGTACCGATGTTGGTCTTCTGACCCAGAACTCATTTATGTTACAGGCAAAAGCCACTTATCATCATTATTCTAATAAAAAGATTTATATTCAAAAGAATATATATTGCATTGCATAATAGTTTCCACAAAAGTATTAAGTAGCAGTTTTCTACATTTATGATAGCAACAAATATCAAATTAGATTAATTTCTGAATGATCATGTGACAGAAGACTAGAGTAAAGATGCTGACAATCTTGTGTTAAATGACAGTTATAAATTTCACATCACAATTATATGGTAACAGAAGACTTTATTCTATTAATAAAGTAAAAGTTAATTTAAGTGATTTAAGTGTAATATTTTATGCTATTTTGTCTTACGGTTATTGCACACTGAATCTAAAATTTTTATCTGTAATTTTTTTGCATGTTAAAAAATAAATTAGTATTCACGTTGTGTGAATCGTATTGACACACTGCCTTTGAAACTTTCATCTGTCATAAAAAAATCCAAAAAATCATTTTGAGATCGTTTATATATCTCTGAAAAATGTTTCAGCAAGGCCAGCAAACAAGTGTCTGCTATATTAACTCTGTCAGATAAATAATGAAATAAGGATCATCTATGATGACTGATAAAAAACTGTTCAGTTTATTCTATTGATTGGCGATCGAAACCTATTATCCCATCTCGATCGCCATATTTGTGAAATAGTACACACTATTGTTTATTGTGTACACTATTTATTAACAATATATAAAAAATATCTGAGAAAATGTCTGAGAAGATGTTAATAACATTATAATCTGTTATATCCATTTATCAGGTGTATCCATTTATTTTAGGCCTTAAAAAGTCTTAAGTCCACTAAAATATTGTGTTTTAGGTCCTAAATAATTTTAAATGGGTCTTAATTTTCCTATGTCCGTGTGAAGCTATACCAAATTGGGCCAACACCCATCCAATCAATAGTAATAAATTTCAATAAATCTTTTAAGAAATGTTTATTTATTAACTCTATTCACTTGTTCATATGATTAGTGTTTCTTCTGTACAAACACAGTAGTTTTTTTTTAAGGTTTAACATTGCCATTTTAAAAAATCTTAAGCGTTTAGCCTTGTGTAAGTCTGAAATTTCCTCCTTTATGGTCTTAAAAAGTCCTACATTTGACTTGATAAAACCTGTAGAAACCCTAATATAGGGTTCGTCTAGATTGTTTGTGCTGGATTGTGTGTGCCTTTAATGTGTGTGGGTTAGCTGGATATTATACTTTCGGGTCTGTCACTTCGACACGTCAATGTGGCTGCCATCTATTATAATGTCTATAGGTACTGCCAGAATTTGATTACGTCTGTGAATGTGTGAAGTATCACAAGCAATGAATCAAATCTCCACTGATTTCCTGAAATAAACTTTGCATTTTGGGATAATCGAAGCGCAGCTCTTTGAAAAGGAGAACTCTCCTTCCTCTCTATAGGCTAGTATTAAATGAACATAATATGTAACCCATTCCACTTTCGTTTTCTACTTTGGAGAATAAAGAGGAGAACAAAGCATCCCAGCTTGAACTGATTCAGAAATGTTATGCATTTTTTTGTAATGGATTTATTAAAACGCATCAGATTTGTGTACCTGATGAATGTTTCGCATATGAATACGAAAATTACACATACGAAAATTTCGGACTTCTGTGTGCAAAGATCTTTAGTGCAGAGAAATAAATAAATCCGCACCATGTCCAAACATTTTAATGTTCGTAAATATCCTGCAACAACCAGATAATCAAAAGATTTTTTGTTTATTTGTCACCTATTATTATTGTTCATTCATTGCATATGTCCTTTGATTCGATCAGAACGCTCATATTATCTTTTTTCTTTCTTAGATATTTCATCAGGCTCCAGATCCTAACGTCCCCCTGCCGCATCCTCAGTCTCACTCTCAGTCTCGTGGTGGTGCCAGACGCAGCAAAGCCATCTGTCTGTCGTCCGGCTCCCGCAAATCCAGAGGCCTGTACCCTCCTGCCCTGTGCCTGGCTGATGCTGACAGTGAGTGTCTCTTAAACCACATACACATGCATCTGAAGTCATACATCAGAGTTTCTGGATTCAAGCACTCCTATCAGAAACCAAAGTTGAACAACAATAATGTGAAAATATGCTCACAGTGTGCTTTATTTCTAATCTCAGGAAGTCAGTGATTCATCTTTTATAAATCATTAAAATATTGATGTCTGGGATGTGATGAGACAGTAGTGAACTCTGATTTTATCAAAAAAGGCATCAGTGAGCAAATCAAGGCAAAAACTAGTGTAACTCCACTGTGTTATAAATGAGATTGTTTTTTTGTTTTTTTACTGTATTAAGTTCATTATAAAATGTACAAAAAACAAAACAAAAACAAACAAAAAAAAAAAAATAATATATATATATATATATATATATATATATATATATATATATATATATAAACAGTTCTGTCTGATTCTCGAATCTGATTGGCTGTTAGCCGTGATATATATGTAAGTAATATCAGCACCCGTACAGCCTCTTAACCCTTTGTGTATTATTCCGCCCACATAAAGCCAGCTGTTTAACTGTCAGCCTATGATTTGAATCCAACGCGAAAGAAAGTAGTTCCTCATACAAAAGGGTTTTTAAAACTCTCCATGTTTGATTTTGTTTTTATATACACAATTATGCCATCAAACTGTTGTATAAACGCAATATCACACTCGTAGCAGTGCGATATGGCTGTATATACCTCGTGCCAATGCATGCCTCTCACCAGTGCCGATATACAGCAATATCGCACTGCTCCTCGTGTGATATTGCTCATGTATTAGTTAATATAAAGCAATGTATTATAGTTATTTTTACATTTTATAAACTTAAACTAATTTGGAAATTCATTCATTCATTCATTTATTTTCTTTTGTGCTTAGTCCCTTTATTAATCAGCGGTATCAGCATGTGTTTTATGCAGCGAATGCCCTTTCAGCTGCAATACATCAATGAGAAACATCAATGCAAACTGATTCACACACATACACTACGTACAATTTTCTTCCAAATTCACTTGTACCGCATGTCTTTGGACTTGTGGGGGAAACCGGAGCACCCGGAGGAAACCCACGCAAACATGGGGAGAACATGCAAACTACACACAGAAAAGCCAACTGACCCAGCCGAGGCTCGAACTAGAGACCTTCTTTCTGTGAGACGATCGTGCTACCCACTGCGCCACCGTGATGCCCTAAATCTGGAAATTACCTATGGCAAATATATATCTAGCCTCAATCAAGTTTGGTTTTTGGCTTTTTATAACGAAAAGTTTGGGCACTCCTGGTCTAGAGCATCTGCTGTTAAAAACTACTCTCAAAATCAGTTCAAGAGAAAATAGTGGTGTTTTGAAAATCGCTGGATTTATTTCCTGAACTATTTTTAAAAAACAGCTCTACACATTTTCACATTTCTGCATCTACATCTTTACACATTTCTGTTTTTCAAATGTACATCACAGATATTAAATAAAATATGCAAGTCTCTTAGTCACTACCCAGTAATTGTACTTTGTTGTTTACAACCCCCTGTTGTTAAAAATTGTCCTGGTAAAACCAGTAAAAAAAAACAAAAAACAGGAAAGTTATACCTATAAGTGCCAACAGGTCAGATTTATTAATTAGATTTCTTAATTTTTTTTTAGTTTTACCATTCATTGTTGCTTGACAACATTGTTCACCCATTGAAACTGCTGAAACTTGAACTGTTTTAGTCACAGTAGATAAAAGTAAGTAATTTAATGATGCCAAACAGGTTCCAGGGCAATAAATGCCATGAGTGATGGCAAGTCTGATTAATGGTTATATGACATCATGGTTTAATGTTTCTTAGTCGAGGCAGGATCACAGTTGATGACTAAAAATAACCATTTCATGACAGTGTCATAAAAAAGTGACGTATTATGTTTTTAGATAAACCAAAAGTCATGTGCATGGGAGCATTAACCCACTGGCAGTTTTAGGTATACAATGATCCCTCATTAATCGCAGGAATTATGTTTTAAAAATTACCCACGATAGGCGCAATCCACAAAGTAGTCCGCTTAATTTTTTTGCAATTATTATAGATGTTTTAAGACTGTAAAACCCCTCACTACATACTTTATACACTTATTCAGACAGGCATTAACATTTTCACACTTTTCTCTCTTGCTTAAAAACTCTCCAAAGTTCAAACCTTAGTAGGAAAATAAGTCCAGTATTATAGAATGAAACCATAGATCAAAACTATTTGATCTTCATTTATTTATTTCTCAATGGCGCCCTACAGCCACATAACGTCTACCTTCTTTTTAGCATGTTCAGAAGTTAAACTTTTTGTGTGACGGTTAGCATCTTCCTCTGCCTTTTTGGTACTACTGCAGGTGCATTTGATGGTGCAGAACGTTTCGTCGACGTTGTGGGAAGAAAACTTACAGGACAGCACTTCAGAATCGTATTGTTAGTGATCGAAGATTTATGTAAATTTGGCAAAAGAGATTGATTTACATCAGTCTACAGCCAATCAGGATGCAGAACACAATGCGCTAATCAGGTCGTCAAATTGCGAAAAAAAAAATTTTTTAAATCTGCAAAACCGTGAGGCTGCGAAAAGTGAACCGCATTATAGCGAGGGATCACTGTACAACGCTTCTAGTGTATCTGTGTAATATGACTAAACAGCGCTCTTAAATGGCTACCGAGATAGTTTTCTCAATTACAGATGATTAGAGGCTTAGATCCAGAAACGATATCCATACAGTACAACATAACTGAATTATATATGTCAGTTTAACCCTTTCTCTCCATCAGGCGACACGTTCAGCAGCAGTCCAAGCAGCACCCCTATGGGCAGCATGGAGTCTCTCTCATCCCACTCTTCAGAGCAGAACAGTTGCTCCAAAACAGGCTCTCCGTCTCGGAACAAACACAAGGCCTCAGGGAGTCTGTGCTGGACCACTCCATCTCCCTCCACGAATGGGCCAAAAAGCCCCGCTTGCACCACCAGCCCCGATTCCAGCTCTAAGGAGGACGCCAACAAGACGGATGGAGAATGGGAAGAAGCGCTGAGTACAAGCCCAGGCGATCGAAGCTCTCCAGCCTCAGAGCTTCTGCACAGGACTCTGGGAGAGACAGCGGAGGATCAGCGCAGTCTGTCCTCTTGTTCCTCTCTTACGTCACTGCACATCTCTGAGGGTAAGAATAAGTACATTTTGAGTGATGAAGGGGAAAATGTATTAGGAATTTTAACCCTTTGAATTAAACTATGTAATGTTTTCCTAAATTGATTTGTTTATTTATTTCATTATTTGATTATTAGAGTCAGGGCGTTCTCACACTAGGTACATTTGTCTTGAAATGTGCCGAAGTGCTATTGTCCCCCCACCTCTCTCCCCTGATGGCCTGCACTCACACTGCATTTTGCCTTTTGAACCGAAACACTCTTACATCATCAATGATGCGACTGTTGCCAAACAGATCCACAACTTTTGACGCTGATAAGTCCTCGTGCTTCAGGAATAAGAAGGTTTGCTGAGGGTGCAGCTGTCGTGCAGTGATGGGTTTGCATCTCTAATGAACTATGACAGTTTGCGTTCATTGAACTGTAAGAATGATTAATAAATCCATTTGAAACAGTCCCTCAAAAGTGACGTCAGGTCTTCAGTTTCGGGCGCAGGCATGCTTTGCACTCACACTACAAGCGCACCGCACCAATGCCCAACCGAATCGCACTCTGGCACAGCACTTTCAACTGGGCCAGGGCCGGCCAACTGAACTGTGCCTGGGCCTGATTCTAAGCACTCACACTTGCCAAACGAACTGGGAAACGTGCCTGGACGCGGTTCAGATAGCATAGTGTGAGTGCATTTTGATGCATTATTATGTTTTGTGCAGTGTCAGATTAAAAAAGCAAAGCTACCTCTTTTAAACTTGTGTGATTTTAATTAATTTAGCCTGTAGTGCTCAAAAGCAGAAAACGGCAAAAGCACCAGAGTGTCCGCAGGGTCTTAAAGTGTCTTAAATGTCAAAAACTAAATTTTAGGCCTTAAATTCTGTTAAATTAAAGACTTAAATTCACTAAAATTTGATGTTGTAGGTCCTAAACCATTTTAAACAGGTCTTAATTTTACTTAATGTAAAGCTAAGCAATCAATCAGACACACATTCAATCACCAACAATACCTCTCAGTAAAACTTTTGGCAAAACCCTATGGAAATATCATGTTTTAACAGTCTGTTTTGCAAACACTTAGTTTATTAAAGTTTGTAAAGAGCTTTCTTAAGTTATGTTAAAAAAAATTGAATGTATACAACCAGGGTTTGCTTTTTTGACCCTATTTATAATATGTGGCTAAGAAATAACTAATTAGGATTACTTTTTTATTATTATTATTAAAAAAGTAAAATAAAAATTCTTGCACTGGCATAAAATTTAGCAATTTTATTGGGTCAACATTTATTTTAATTCCAAGTAAAATGACATCTTTTTTATTGAGTTTTATTTTAGCCAATTATAATAAAACTCCATTCTAGTATCTCCCAAAGCCTGTTGGCCTTGACACTGAAATGTTTAACAGTTTCTTGCAACATTTGGCTACAAAAAAGTCAGGCTACATTTGATGCATAACAAAAGAAACAATGTAAAAAAAAAAACACTTCCCAAGACATATCGACTCTCGTGTTTGTTGTATTCCTCAGGTTTCAGGAGCTGTCATGGCTCCATCCAGAGTCTGGTGTCCCGCAGTCAGAGAGACAGTCTCAAATCTCTCCATCTGCCGGATCTTCCTCCCAAAGACGGCATGAGATTCAGAGACGATTCCTCCGCCAGCAATGGCTACCAGAGACCGGGATCTGTGTAAGCAAGAGCCTTCCCAGAAATTCTCTCTCGTACTGTAAAATTTGTGTTACACTGATTCATATATCAAATGTGCCATGTTCTGTTCTTTTCTTTCCTCCAGTGTGGCCTGCCGAGCAGCAATTTTTGAGTGTCCTGTGATTTCTCAGCCTACAACAGGAAGGTAATGAGCCAGACTAAGTGCAGTATAAAGTTTTATTTATGATTATTAGTATTATTTCTTATATACAGGTCTAAACGGAATCTGCAGAACGGAATCTGTGTTTTTACAGTGTTTGGTCATAACATTCAGGGTCACACTTTATTTTGATGGTCCATTTGTTGATTATAAGTTACATTGCATCTACATCCCATTTAATTCTCATTTGATTATAATTAGACTGTTTTAGAATTTTTTGGAACTTAGAATTTTCACCAGATGTTGGTAACAACTAAAAAAAATCCATATATTCAAAGAAACCTTAAATTAAATTAATATTATACTAATATATGAACAATAACAACAACAATAACTGTTTTTTAAGGTTTACTGCGGTTTGGAAAAGTCAAGGTTTTAAAACCGGCAAAATATTCTGCTATACCATTCCTAAGGTATATGTAAGATTTTTTATTAAATTTTTTGTTTGTTTTTAGGACAACAGTATCTCCAAAAATGCTACATAATTAGACTGTTTTAGAATTTTTTGGAACTTAGAATTTTCACCAGATGTTGGTAACAACAAAAAAAAAATCCATATATGCAAAGAAAACTTTAATTAAATTAATATTATACTAATATTAATTAGTTTACAAATTAAGTTGTGTATATAAAATTAAATGACAAATAAAAAAGTATTGAACACACGAAGAAAGGGAGGTGTTGAAAGGCAGTGAAAGCCCAGACAGCAGCTGAAATCTCTCAGTGGTTATTCAGCAACCCTCTGTAAATTAATATCAGCTGCTTCAGTCCAACATCTACATTACCCGGATGATAAAGATAAAACCAGAGTGCCCATTTCAGCAAGACAATGATCTAAAACACAACCAATGAAACTCTCAAAGGTTTTTGAAAAAGAGAAAGAAAGTCAAGCTGTAGAATGGCCTAGTCATTCACCTGACTTGAATGCAATAGAAAATACAAATTTAAGATCAGATTTGGTAAACGAGACCCAAAGAACAATCAAGATTTTTATACTATGTTGAAAATCTTTTTTTTTTCTTCAGGGGACTTCATTCTCCATATGAGAGGCATCTTTAAGCTGCCATCGCCAAAAAAAGCCTTTTATATAAAGTATTAAATACATTTCAATAGTTACATATAGTACAATATCCTTGTGTCATTCCTTTATTACACATTATTACTCAGATTTTTGTTTTGTTTTGTTGTATTTTTATGTTTGTATTGTTTGGGTTTTTACCTAAATCTGGTTAAATTCCATGTCAACAGCTCCTTTAAAAAATATATTTCCCAGAAACCAGAAATACTTTTTTCCCCCACTTTATACTTTTATGTACTTATGTTTTTTTTATGTGTTTGTTTTGTGTAATGCTTGACTAGACTTTCTATAAAGTACCATTAAACAATCTGAAGACAACACAGGGTTAACACATGCTGTCTAAATTTGTTTACCTGGGTCCATTATCTGCATATTAATTTATATAAACTTTATAAATAACATTTATATAATTATATTTCCAAATAAAGTCAAATTCATCACATTATATAAGAACAAATTAGTCAAAATCACAATCTTCTGAAACATTGACTATAATAAGTCATAAAAATGCAGTCTGGTCTAAAACCCTTCATTTCTCTTCATGTTTAAAACTTAGTTAGATAATGAGATATATTCTCTGATTATTGTGTGTGGAATGTTTTTTGATATATTTCTTCAATATTTATTGATATTGCCCAACAGCTCTGAAAGATAAGTGTGTGTTTGTCGTCTGTGGTCAGTGATGTTAGGTGGTTTCCTCAGTGACTGACTCCCCCTGGTGTTTTTTTACAGAGACGCGAAAGCCTTGTATTCCTGTCAAGCGGAGCACAGTCATGAGCTGAGTTTCCCCCAGGGGGCGCACTTCTCCAACGGTAAAAACTCACTCTTCACCCGAAATAAACACTTGCTCCAAACCATTCCTTAAAACCATTTAGTCACTCAGTTGGTTCTAAACTTATGACCGTCTTTCTTCTGTTGTTGAACACAACACAAAATATTCTGAACAACGCTGCCATAGACATCCATAGTAAGTATTAGTCATGAAATACTATAAAGTCTATGGCTGCTGCTTTCCAAAAATCTTTGAATATCTTCTTTGTGCTCAACACAAGAAAGATAGCAGAGGTTGGATGAAGTAGTGGTTGAGTGAACAATAACAACAACAATAGGTTGGATGAAGTAGTGGTTGAGTGAACAATAACAACAACAATAACTGTTTTTTAAGGTTTACTGCGGTTTGGAAAAGTCAAGGTTTTAAAACCGGCAAAATATTCTGCTATACCATTCCTAAGGTATATGTAAGATTTTTTATAAATTTTTTTGTTTGTTTTTAGGACAACAGTATCTCCAAAAATGCTGTTTTAAATTATAAAGAAATCTCTGTTTTTAAAACTAATAAAGACAGCAGAAGTTAGCCTGACATTCTTTCTTAAAATGAAATATATTGTGATCAAATGGGCGGAAAAGTTTTAGTTTTTTACCCAGACATTTAAAAAGAATATATTTTAGAGCAGTAATCACGATAACAAACTGTGATCTTTTTATCCAAGGTTATCATACTGTCAGAATCAAGGCCCATGTCTACAACTTATACACATTCACATCCAAAATAAAAATGTAGAAATATGCAACTTGCTAATGCTATTGTCTTTAAACATCAACATTATTTTCATTTAATAGTCTAATACTCATAGGGATGGTGAATCTAGCATAACATGTTCTCCTTGTTTTGTGTCAATGTCAATGTCAATTTTATTTATATAGCACTATTAAGCACAGCCAAAGGTTGACCAATGTGCTGAACAATAAATCACAAAGTGTACACTTTTTCTGTGTAACGTTCAATCCCTTTGCTTCCTAAGAAGCAGACCAATTCATCAATAATCTTTCTGTGTAACATTTTCCATTCATTTATGACTCTTTAATAGTGACTCATTATAATATCTCATTTATCTACAATTGCTAATGACTAGGCCCACATGTAATCTGCGTGCGCAGAATACAGTAAATTTTCCTCAGATTTCCACAGATTTTTAGCCCATCATTAATTCTGTTTATTTACTTGAGTAAATTTGTGTAAATCAATATTTATTCAGTTTTTAAATTAATTTCAGTAATATTATTGACTAATATGAAAATGTTCATCAGGTTTATGTACAGTGCAGTTTGTACAGTAATATTTTCTGTCTTTTAGTAGATTTATTATATGAGAGACTTGCTTTGTTTACCAAATAAAGGTAATGTAATTGGATTTGCATTTTAACATTAAATAAAAGTTTAAAAGATTTTTTATTTTCACATATTAGGCTTTTAGTTATCATACTCCCAAAATAATTCAGCAGAAAGCCGCAGATTTTTTACAAAATTCTCTGCTGAAATAGCAAAAAACATCCGCAGATTCCGTTTGGCCCTACTAATGACACAGTTTAGCATGTAATTGTATGCAAACACATGAAAGGCACATATTGTGCCCTTGTATTTGCTGCATTTAACACTTGGTGTGTATGTCTGTGCAGTTTATCCTTCAGTTGAACCTGGATGGCTCCAAGCTACATTTGACGGCAAAACGGGACTCATCCCAGAGAATTATGTGGAGTATCTCTGACGGGTTCGAAAAAGTCAAAAACAAAGTCCATGGTATCCATGGTGTTCATTTCAGCACAAAAAGGGACCATTAATATGTACAGCCTTACTGTATGTAAATAGTGCATAGCATTATAACCATATCATTAACCGCTGCATATAATTTAAGTTAATTCAGGATGTAAAAATATCACCTTATGCATTGTAGATTGTATTACCATACTAGGTACATGCGGACTGAAGACTGTATTGACTGTATTTATGCACACCCCATTATGCGGATAGGTGTGATGCTTTTAAACTGTAGACATGAGCTCATAACACTCTCATCAGTGTTGCGGTATGGCTCTGAAGGAAACTGTGGGTTTTTATTATATGTAGAGGGAGAATTATATATGTACCTTATGCGTTTATTAGCCACCATATTAAGTAGCAGAAGATACTGGACTTCCCAGTGAGATGTTTGTGAAATGTTTTGGTAGTGTTTTAGGGACTTTCTTTAGTGATGCTCGAAGATCAGCTATGTTTGGTAGATGCAGGTCATCTTTCATTCCAGTAATCGGTGAGTGTTTTTGGTCAAATCATTTCATACGAGTTGGCATACTTTCAAAACATTTATTGGTACCTCTGAACCTTTTTCTGTCCTTAACGTTTTTTAATCGACTGACCTTATGAGCCAAAAGTGTCTTATATGCTTCTGAATGTTGTTTGAATTATACTAATATACTGTCAGTTTGTGGCGTTTGGTAAAACAGTGTAACAAAAAAAAGTGTTATTTGTGAAGTTTTTAGCTTATGAGTATTTTTGTTGTGTGTAATATAGTGGATTTTGTAATGAAGTACAATCAAGAAATGAGAAAATACTTCTGACAGTGTTCAATTCTGTAGTTTTTAGTGGTAATTTGTTATAGTTTGTGCTCACGAAAATGCAGTCGTTTAAGTATAGTTCTGCTGTATTTTATTTTACACTGGTTTAGCATTTCTGTATGTTGAAATGAAAAAAACATTTATTAATGTCATTCACAGATTAACTTAATGTTTCATAAACATTTTAACTATTAAAATGTCATTGTTTATTTACTGAAACTTTGGTTGGGTTCTTTTTGTTAAGTTTCTAACTTGATTGTATCTGCCTTTGCCACTTCAGATATTTTATATATCAACTAATCGAAGATTTCCTGCAGACCGTTTTTTTTTTTTTATTATTATTTTGTTCTTTTTTTAAATAAGTTTGATCATGAACATATACTTCAAAAGCATTTTTCCAGAATAGTAATGTACTTCAGCTGCAAAAATGTTAATAAGTGTGATGATTTTTTAAAAACAATCCCTGTTCACACATCATAAACAACCACTGATGTATATGGAATGATAATATCTTTTATAAATGGGTGAAAACAGCCCAAAAAAACGATATTATTTATGTTGTTAGTGATGCCACTTCGTAAAGAAATGCAGTATGCAGATTTATAGTGTGCACTTTTTATATGACTCCATTTTCAAATAAAGAGACTTTTTTTTGCATTTTTAGCCATTAATTTACTTGAAAACTGTGTTATTGTGTTAGTTTTAGTCTTAGGCTGTTAACATTTGTATTTTGTTAAGGTGTTAGTGTCTATTTTATATTATAATTTTATGGTGTAATGTTAACACCATAGGATTCTCAAACAGATGCTGTAAACTGATTTTTCAAAATTCTGAGCTTTTTTAGATGACAGCTATCAGGTTGAAAAGATGAGTGAGTAGTGCAATGTGTTATTTCTATAGCTGGATAAATTGTAATGAGCAAGGGTTAAAACTTCATATACAGGAAGAGTTGGGCTAGAACTGGCAAGCTTTCATTTATTCATTTTCTGCTGCTTTTCCGGGGCCGGGTAGCAGTCTTAGGAGAGAACCCCAGACTTCCCACTCCCCAGACACTTCCTCCAGCTCCTCCGGGGGGGGGATCCCAAGGCGTTCCCAGGCCAGCCGAGAGACATAGTCCCTCCAGCATGTCCTGCAAAAGAGCACTTTTTTTTTAACTTTCAATTAAGAATTTGTATATATCATGGTATAATGGGCGACGCAGTGGTGCAGAAGGAAGTGCTGTCGTCTCAAGAAGGTTGCTGGTTCGAGCCTCGGCTGGGTCAGTTGGCATTTCTGTGTGGAGTTTGCATGTTCTTCCCACTTTCGCGTGGGTTTCCTCCGGGTGCTCCAGTTTCCCCCACAGTCCAAAGACATTCGCTATAGGTAAATTGGGTAGGCTAAATTGTCTGTAGTGTATGAATGTGAATGGATGTTATCCAGAGATGGGTTGCAGCTGGAAGGGCATCTGCTGCGTAAAACATGTGCTGGATAAGTTGGCGGTTCATTACGCTGTGGCGACCCCAGATAATAAATAGAATTAGTCAAAACGAAAATGAATGAATGAATCATAGTATAATGATTGATATGTGGGGCATTGAACTGCAACGCCACAGACAGAACATGTCACGTTGGGGTGATCAAGAACAGGAACAAAAACATGGGGGGTATAGAATCCAAGTACAGTTTTAATTGATGTATAGTGCAGAGAAAATGACAAGAATTACAAAAATTCAAAGTAACAAACAAAACAAACAAACCAGGAACTCAAACAGATAAAACTCGAACTAGACTTGAACAAGAATAACAGGATACAGACTGGAATCAGGAACAAACATACCGATCTAGATGACAACGACCAGCAGAGGATGAATGACTGAATATATAGTTCAGGTAATCAACGGAGAACGGAGACAGCTGTGGTTGTAAACCAGTGTAGATGACAGACCGGGTGTGTGCGCAAAAGAATGTATGGAAATGTAATTCTAAAGCCCTGTAGTTCGCTGGGGGTTGCCGGCGAACTACAGTGGCATCTGGTGGACAAACACAGTCATGACAGAACAAAGAATGCACTTTCAGGTCTGAAAATCAGCATCAAATAAAAGTGCACAGCTCATTTATGTTACCACTGAAACTGCTGTGTCTAAGAACTGACACGAGTGAGTCAGAAGTTGTATCTAAATCGCATGTAAGCACTATCCTGCACCATTTTGAAGTGTAGAAAAAAGAAAAGGCTTAGTGCACTTTAGTGAATGTTGAACTCTTCATGCACTCACCTGTTATCTCATTTTTTAGTTTGATAGTTTATACAACTAATTTGTGACCTGTTAAATGTCATCTTGAAAACATTTTATTTCCAGTTAATAGACAAAAGAACTTTAGTGCTCCATGTGGGACGACACTAAACTCTAAACCAGTGTTTCTCAACCATGTTTCAAGAGGACCAACAACACCGCATGTTTTGGATGTCTTCGTTGTCTGTCACAGCCATGACAGGTCTTTCAGTCTCTGCTAATGAGGTAATGATCTGAATCAGGTGTGTTTGGTTAAGGAGATATGGAAAATGTGCAGAGCTAGTGGTCTTCCAGGAACTTAGTTAAGAAACACTGCTCTAAACTATACTATGAGGGCATAGTTTGTCATCTAGGACACAACTAGAAACTTTTTTCAAGCTATATAGGTAAAAATGAGAGGCAAAATAGAAACACAAAAAAAAAGTAACTTTTTTTTTTTTAAATGGCCTCAAAAACATTAACTAAAAAGTGCTTTTTGTGGTTGGTTAATTCTGTTTGAGCTGGAAATACGTCATAATAGTGAAAAATGCTTTCCTTATAGTAGGCCAAATAATGTGCACTTTGCTTTTAAATTTACTAAGCGTCAACAGTTGATCCCACATATGACTCACCGCATTATCTACTGTAGCTTGAATTTCCTGAAATGTTGTAACCAAAATTCCCCCTTGTGGTATGATTAAAGTATCAACGAGGAGATTTTGATCTATAGTATGTGGTTATCGCTGACATCATCATCTTCCTACTAAACTTTACTGTCTATACTGAAAGTCCAAGAAAAACAAGTAGAGATTTCCCAAAACTGATGTACAATAACAGGTCATGACATTACAACAGAAGGTCATAAAAAACCCTTTAGGTGTAGCAACATATTAGCTTTTATAATCTTCCCAGGATTGAGAGATGAGTTTTGTATGTTTTTCAGACCGGGACAGGCACCATCAAAAGGCTTGAGTTTGTTATACAATGTTTTGCCAGCTCAGCAGCACGTGTTATTGAGCAGCAAAATCAAACCAAGCACTTCTTTGACTGTGGAAGAGCTCTGCGTTCTTCTGTTTTATGTTCTCTCCAGAGCGTTTCCTGATTTTAAGCAGTTGTGTGATGTTTTAAATCTGTATGACGTCAATACTCCTCACAAGGTCAGCTTCATCGTGATCTTTTAAAAGGAACTTCTCATGTTACACAAACGAAGAATACAGCATATTACATAAAATGGTGGATTAAGAGTCACTGTGGAGGCAATAAATTACCCAATACAGCTTCTGTAAAAAAAAAAACTGAGTGATGTTTATATATAAAATATACACTGACCGGCCACTTTATTGGGTACACCTTACTAGTACCAGGTTGGACCCCTTTTGTCTTCAGAACTGCCTTAATTCTTCATGGCATAGATTCAAACAAGGTACTGGGAATATTCTTCAGAGAATTTGGTCCATATTATCATGATAGCATCACGTAGTTGCTGCAGATTTGTCAGCTACACATCCACGATGTGAATGTCTCATTCCATCACATCCCAAAGGTGCTTTATTGGATTGAGCTCTGGTGACTGTGGAGGCCATTTGAGTAGAGTGAACTCATTGTCATGTTCAAGAAAATTGTCTGAGATTATTCACACTTTATGACATAATGCATTATCCTGCTGGAAGTAGGCATCAGAAAATGGGTACACTGTGGTCATAAAGGGATGGACATGGTTAGCAATAATACTTAGGTAGGCTGTGGCATTGACACGATGCTCAAACAGTAGTGCTGGCCCCAAAGTGTGCCTAGAAAATATCCCCCACACCATTACACAAGACAGGATGAATACATGCTTTCATGTTGTTGATGTCAATTCTGACCCTACCATTCGAATATTGCAGCAGAAATCGAGACTCATCAGACCAGGCAACGCTTTTTCAATCTTGTATTGTCCAATTTTGGGGTTTCTATGCTAATTATTTGAGTTACTGTTGGCTTTCTATCAACTCCAACCAGTCTGGCCATTCTCCTCTGGCCTCTGGCATCAGCAAAGCATTTGCGCCCACATTACTGCTGCTTACTGGGTATTTTCTCTTTTTTCGGACCATTCTCTGTAAACCCTAGAGATGGTTGTGCATGAAAATACCAGTAGATCAGCAGTTTCTGAAATACTCTGACCAGCCTGTCTGGCACCAACAACCATACCACATTCAAAGTCACTTAAATAACGTTTCTTCTTCATTCTGATGCTCGGTTTAAACTGCAGCAGATCGTCTTGACTATGTCGACATGCCCTAATGCATACAGTTGCTGCCATGTGATTGGCTGATTGAAAGTGTCTTGTTTTGACTTTCATACATTTTTTACAACAATTTAGACAAAAAAACACTAAAAATGCCATTCAGTGTAACAATAATGTTGTTACATATTTACATAAATATATCAGCCAAACAGCAAGTAAATATTAGTATAGTATTTCACCCATATTTTGAACATTTATTATAAGTTATTTAAAACATTAAAGCAGACACTTGTACACAATGCATTAATGTAGATGTAGATAAAGTCAGAAAAGTCATTTGTTGCGTTCACCTTATTTGAGACTCATGAAAAACTCATTTAGTTAAAAAAGAATAAGTGCATAATTACATTTATACAACTGTATAATTAACATATAATAAAATATATGAGTAATATGTAATATTTTAACAAATGATTTTATAGTTATCATTTTATTTATTTTTTATTAATCTGCTGTGAATTTCATCTATTTGGTAACTGACATTTTAATATGTGAATTAGATACCGGAAATTCAACAGTTAACTACATATGTGTTATATAAATAACCTTTGTTCAATAATGTTTCACCATTTCACAGTCATGAAAGCTCACTAGTTTGTTCAGTCAAACCAGCAGGCCAAGGCAGAGAATCATGTGAAGCCACATAGTCTTTGTGCAAAATATCTTGCTTGATAAATAGTTGATTCTATGCCTCATAGAATCAAAACACAGCTGTCTGACTTTCTCAGTGAGACTTCATAACCAAGCAGTCCTGAGAGAGGTTTTTTTCAAGTGTCCTGACTAGCTTCGCCAGCTCCTCCATGTTGTGTGACTTTTCCTCCAGCAGTTCATAGCGAAGGCTTGAAATGTCCTGTTTGATCTCCTTCAGTTCACCTGCAACAAGTATTGTGAAATATTTACATTATGTTAACAGAGAAATTTCCCCTAAGAATCCTTTTGCTGCTGATCCTCTTTGGGATTTTGATTCAGTGGGATACATAAATAGGAATAATATATTTTATATTGCTCTATCTATTGATGGCTGTCGTTATAGAACGTGTGTAAAATTTGTGAATTATTCCTCAAATTCAGACACTCACCCTCGTTGACTTCATCACATTCCTTGTCATTTTGAGCCTTGATGATGTATCGCTTCACAAGACGCTTCATAATTTTCTGTACAGATTACAAACTGACTTCAAATTCAAATAGCAAATATGAACCATATTCACATCTATTAAATATATGTAGTGTAGCAAATTAAAACGGAAATAAACATGCCTGATATCGACTGGAACGTGGAAGAGTCTTGGCCTGGCAAGTTTTGCTCTGTCCCAACTGAATTGTAAACAAATGACCCAACAAACCACAGGACACATATGAATGGGTTAGTTTATTGTGAACGTAAATGAATGAATTACTTTAACTTCCACATTAACTTCCAAGCTGCAACAGTTTTTTTCCTATTGTGACGTAGTTCCTTAAGAAACGGCATATTAAATGAGAAAACAGTAGACATGACTTTTTTTTTTTTACTGTGAACTGATTGGATGTAATACAGTAGGCATTTCATATTCTTGTTTCATGCGGCCGCCATTATAAAACACGAAAGCGAGGCTGCGGTGGGAAGAAACCCAGAAGGATAGGATCAGCACTGTAAACATTGCAACAACATGCTGTGGACTACAAACTTTCAGCTGTTGCCGCGATGTCAAAATGCAGATATGGTGTAAACCTCAATTTAATATCACTCAGTAAGTTTAATTTAAACAATTAAAAGCATATTAGGCATCAAACAACATCACAATCTCTTTAAGAGCATCCTCCTAGGCTTCAGTTCATGGCACCAGGTAAACACTGTGGGGGCTTCCCTGCTTCAGCCTATGTGACCCGGTGAGCAATAAAACAATACAGTCATGTTGTCCCGGTACTAAAGTTTTAAAAACGTTTATTTCCCGCTAACATTTAAGCGCCGATGAGCGCACTCTTAAACAAATGATTTGCCATGGTTTTCACCAGTGTCAACAGAAATGACTGTGATTGGTCATGAAGGTCATCAGTTCACCGCTCTCCACTGAGTGCAAAAACAGATACACAAACACTGGAGCATTTAAAAGCATGATGACCTTCACGGCCAATCACGGTCATTTCTGTTGAGCACCGGTGAACACTATGGCAAATCAGCGGTGTTGTGTTCAACAGTGCTTAAATATTAGTGGGAAATTGACGGTTTTCATAAATTTCAGTAGCGAAATTCAGTATGGTGACAGGTCTAATATAGTTAAAGATTCAGTAAATTAACTTGAGTTTGATAAAATGGCATCTAAACCAGGTGTTTGGGAAAGAAAACGTTTGCTATCTAGTGCTCTTTTCCTTAGCTGAACATGAGGTCTGATGTTTATTTCCCTTTCCATTCAGAACAGATCTTCGGGTCACTCTGAAGTTGGTGAAATGATAAATTTGTGTTGCTTTCTCTTCGCTGATAAGATATACAACCAGGTATACAACATTCCTGAGTGACTCAGGCGATACTTCCGGGTTTCTTCCCACCGCAGTCTTGATTTCGGTTTTTAAATCGCGGCTGCGTGAAATCAGTCTGTTCAGAAAGATCGGGAAATGGGTTTTAGAAGAATGATTACAACCTAACACACACCTCCTCCTCACGCTTTCTGTTTGTTGTCAAAACTGACAGTTGGAAGGGAGTGGGTAAGTATGTTAACCACTTCCGACACCTCAGACTTAATTTGAGAATTTAACTGAAAAATAAGCAGAAGTGCATTTTCAGATTTCAATTATAGATGGTAAAAAAAAATTCTTACTGTCATGCACAGATGACATGTTCACCACAAAACTAGCAATGTGAGCTAACAAAATCATATGGTTAGTTTTGATTTCATGTGTACTTTAAATGTTTGGTGACATTCACCATCACTGACAAAAATTGTGGGTGAAAGCCACTGAACTTCATGATTGGCAGCTTTGCAAGTGTGTGAAACTCAGTCATTTTGAAATGGGTCTACCCCCATAAATCTACCACATTTGCTGCATTGACTCATGTGTGGGCTGTACTACATATATATGCAGGCTATTGACATGATTAGACAATACAGATCTTTTTATCTCTGCAGTTTTGCTAATACGATCTTGTCTAGCCTAGTCATATTTTGACCTTTTCCACGTTCAACAACTTGCAGAGGTAATCTTTTTCCATTGTACCAAAGGAAAGCTGCTTGTTTTGAAAGTGATTTCTGTGTGTGCTTCATACATCTCTGCTTCAATATGGCTAATGTCACTATAACTTAATGCAAAAAAATGGATCACCTCACTGAGTTCAGACCCCTTCATAATGGCTTTTTGCCTGACAGAAAGCTCTCGCAGGAGACCCTTGACCCCCATAACCAGACTAAGAACTGATTTGGGACTGGGAATCAGGTTAAAAGGCACAGGGAGAGTCCTGCCCTCCTCAAAGTAGGTGAACCAGAGCTTGGCACGGGCAAACTTCCACTCCACATCTGCGTCATCCTGGAAAATGATAGAAAATGCTGATGCTTTAAATTTAAAAAGCAACATCTTAATCAGTAAAAAGATGATTTGAAACTTGCTAAGCAGTCAAACTAATTGTCCCATCTTGAAGAGATAAGGTTGTTTTTTTGTAGTCTGCAAAAACCACTACAATAGGGTGCTTCATCAGCACAAAGACTCGCTAAACCCTCAAGATTTATCATGTCAGCAGTTCTCAGAGAGAAATCTAAAGAAATGAAACTGAGATGAACCTCAATCTCCTGAAATGAGTTGTTGATCATGGCAATAAGCATGTTGAGTAGGACGATGACCACTGTGACATTGTAAACTCCATAGAGAACATATCCAATGTTCTCGATGAACTTGTGTCCATTGTTCACCACGACTGATTTGACCTCAGAAAGGCCAAATATTGCCCAAAACAATGTTTTGAAGCTTTCTTCCACACTGCGGAGATAGAGAGAAAAGATATGAGTATTTTAGCTGAGCTCATTTCCTGTTCTCAAAAGTGGCGAGTAAGGAGCGGATCACACCGAACGCGCTTTTTGCATTGAGAGGCTTTTTGCATTTACTAAAACGACCCACGCGAGCATTTTGTGCTGCTTATGCGCCCTGCCACTCACAAATCTTGAATTTCACAATATTATTAGGTATTAAAGAGCCCATATTATGGGTTTTTTGAAAATTCCCCTCCATGTAGTGTGTAACACAACTCTAAGTGAAGTGAAGTATCCAGCTAAGGCTTAAATCTGTTAGTGTACAGTGTTTAAAACAGTTGATTCATCTAAAAAAAGAGTCGACTCATAGTGCTTCAAACGAGTCGCCTTGATACAGAGTCATTTGGTGTTTCGCCATGACGTACGAACGAAACCAAGTTATTCACGTGCACGCGCAAATCTGGGAGATTTCAAACCTGAGGCCCCGCCCTCTGACGCAGAAACCCAGACACAGACACACACACACACACACACACAAACACACGCACACAAACATGCCGGTCGATTGAAGTCACACTGCAGATGGGTATTATATCGAGTCTCTACCCAAAGATGAAACCTCAGCATTATAACTAAGCAGTTGGAAACTACATGCTACAAAGAATACTTCATCTGCGTTTGTTAAAGGAAGGATCAGTAAAGAGTAACTTACTGCTGGACGTCAGGATGTGTTTCTTCCTCCATTTCTCAAGTGTAAGTACGAGCGATTAAAGTTGTTGCCTCGTTGACTCTAGCTTGCAAATGTATTTAGTTGTGATTTGTTACTTGTAACCGCGTGTACTGTATCAGGTTAACTCGCTATATTCTCTTATCGCGTGCAAAGTCACGTTAAAAACGCGACGCGTGCAGCTTTGTTTACGGAGCTCCGTGGACGAGGGTAGTGTGTGTGCGCGTGCGCTGTCGTCCGGAGGTATGTGTGTTTGTGTGTGTGCGCGCACGCGTTGTCGTCCGGAGGTGTGTGTGTGTGTTTTTGTGTGTGCGCTCGCGCGCAAGGACGAGGGCAATGTGTGTGTGTGTGTGTGTGTGTGTGTGTGTGTCTGTGTGTGTGTGTCTGTGTCTGTGTCTGTGAAAAGAGCAGAGTGAGACAAGCTATGTGATCTCCTCGACAGTTTTTGGAGTTTTTGCTCAATAAAATAGTTAATCGTCTTAATTTTCAAGTCCATCGTCTGTATTTACATTGACCCACTGGCAGCTAAACTCCACGCCTACACTATCGAGCGTGTATGAACTGTGATTACTTTTATATTGCTGATTAGCTGTTTGGCATTTCACTCTCTGACTGAAGGCAGTCGTCCAATCGCAACAGACTGTCATTCGTCCAATCAGCGCAGATTAGCTTCGCGCTAAGGAGGGGTTTGGGAACAAATCAATCACTGGACGATTCATACAGGAGTCGCTGGGATAATTAGGTAAAAATAAATGCAGATTATAAGACCATGAAAGTGTTTTTTGACCTTGCATGGATATTAGACTGTTGTTGGAGACCCTTACAACCAAGATATGACCCTATTTCATGTATAATTATATGGGCTCTTTAAAATGATACCAATATCAAAAGCAACACTATTGCACGATACCCAGCTGATTTAGTCATTGTTTAGCGACATAAAAAGTGCACTGCGTTTAATTTTCTCTTGTCAACAAAAAAGCAGCCTCTTGTTTTTAAAACAGAAAAGCATATTCGGTGTGAACGGCCGTTACATGTCATCCAGATACTTACCGACTTTTTAAAATACTGTAAATTTGTACATACTGCTTGGCTGGCATACTGTATTTTAAATACTATATAGCAGGGGTTTTCAAAGTGTGAGGCGCGCCTCCCCTGGGGGGCGCCAGAGCATGTCAGGGGAGGCGTGGGAAAAAATATTTAGAATTATTATTATATAAAATTATTAAGTTTAATTATTGTATGTATTTTTTATTATTTTTAGACGTTTTAATTAAACAAAGCTAAAATAAATAATACGTCAAAAATAAGAAAACCTTTTTTACCCAGAAGGCCATGGCTGTGAATTCACTTCTGTTTGGCAAGCCCGCCAATACAGGTATATGCCTGCTAATCATGCTGCTAATACAATGAATCGGTTTCTGAGACCCCCCCGATTCAAAGCCTTCAAGTTCAGGGCTTAAACCCAAAATACGACGATATAATGATCAGTATTTGAGTTTAGGATTTACGTGGACAGGACCAGCTGATGAACCACGACCTTTATGTGTGGTTTGTCAAGATATTTTATCTAATGACAGCATGAGACCCGCTAAACTTCGGCGACACCTTGAAACCAAGCATGATGAGGTAGCAGGAAAACCTCCAGCATTTTGTGTGTGTGTGTGTGTGTGTGTGTGTGTGTGTGTGTGTGTGTGTGTGTGTGTGTGTGTGTGTGTGTGTGTGTGTGTGCGTTCGTGTGTGCGTGCGTGTTTGGGAGGAGGGGGGCGCCAATGGATAAGTTGTGTCAAAAGGGAGGCCCACTGTCTTAGACTTTGAAAAACCCTGCTATATAGTATGGAATTATATGTTGTTACATTGTGTTTGGGTTATATTATATAAGTTATAGTAGGAAATAGCTACTTAAGACCTATATAACCTATTTAAGAATTTACTTCCAATATGTAATACCAATGGGATTATCTGTTGTATTTGATGCTAATCATGTCACAATTTCAAGTAAAAAAAAATCCAAAAACAATCGGCACACTGCCACTTTTGCTCTCAAACAAATCTTTAAGGTCAAAGTCACAACGTTTCAACCGACATGGTCCTCATCAGGTAAAGAAACTTTTTACCTGATGAGGACCATGTTGGTCGAAACGTTGTGACTTTGACATTAAAGATTTGTTTGAGAGCTAAAGTGGCAGTGTGCTGATTTTCTTTGGATCTTTTGCTACTAATGTTTGTTTTTTGATCGAGCACCTGCCTTCAACATTTTCTAGATGTGTGCACATTTCTGTTTTTGCAACATTTTCAAGTAAAGCCACACATTTTATTTAACTTTAGGTACATGTTTCTGCCTTATATTTTTCTCTTTCAACAAAAAAAAAAAAACTCAGCAAAACCACTTCTAGCTAAATTTAGTAAAATAATGTTTTGTAGATTCAGATCAAGTACTAAGGTCTACCCTGTTTCACCAAGGTCCACTCACCTTCTTTACCCTTGCCACTATAGACACTTCTAATAGATCATAATTTCAACTCACGTTGTGAAAGCTTCATTCTGTTTTGCACCCCGATAATATGAGTAGAGGTTGAACATTCCAATCATGAAGGCCAGAAAGACTAGGATGAAGATAACCATGAACTTGAAGATGTCCTTCACAGTTCGTCCCAAAGATATTTGCAGTGGTCCAAAGCTCTCATTAGCTGGCAGAATATAGGCAATTCGAGAAAAACTCAGCACCACTGCAATGGCATACAAGCCCTCTGAGACTAACTGAGGATCTGATGGAAGCCAGTCAATCCGAGCTGGAACAAAAATAAAAAAAAATATTTTGCTTTGTTGTTGATTTGGAGTGTGATTTGTTACTTGTCAGGACATTCACTCACCCCGCTGGAAGTATCCCACCTCAAAAGGTAATACTACATTGGTTAGATCTGTGTAATGCTCATCAACATAGCGTTGGGCTGAACTTGCATGCCAGAAAGCCATTATCCTTGAGATGAAGGATGCCACAAAAATGGCCAACATTCCAAAGTCTAGCAAGTTCCAAGGCTCAAGCAGATATTCTCTTGGTCCTTGGGACCAGATCTCCTTGCACTCTGCCCAAATCATCCCTGAGAGAGAGATTGACATGAAAACAGATACATGAATGTTGCATCAGGACATGCAAATGAACTGCACACTTTGTTCTGTGAATACAGACTGTAGTTAAGTAGTAATCTTTAACAAGTAAGAAACAAACCTATGACCCAGGAAATGATGAGCATTTCCATCCACGTGAAGGGAGTTGTTTTCATACGAAACAGCTGTGTCGGATAGTCATGGATGGTCATATTTGGAAGAAGCTTTGTCCCATCAAAGCGGTCGGCAGCGTTCATGACCAAAAGGCCAAGGAAAATAGTAAAGGAGGCCGCATGTGCCACAAACTTAAGGAAAGGGCCACGCATGATCTTTCCCATCTGTTGGTAACAGCATTTTAGACTGATTGTGGTGTGATTAACAAAATACTGCATTCTTCTATTGTGTATTCGTACATTTTCAGCCTGATATGTTTATCAACATTATTATGACTCATATGATACGGTGGATATTTTAAGCACTGCTATAATTTACAACCATGGGAACAGTCTAACTGAGCTAAGACTTCAGTAGATGATTGATGTTAAAGTCATTGCTTGATTGTTTAGCCATGTACTGTATGTTCGCTATGCAATATATCTGGTTTTTGCAGGTGTTACAAAGTAAACTGCATACATACCTTGCTGCATGGTGCCACCCAATACACCATTGCTAGAAAAGGAAGTCCCATCGCAACACCTAAAACTACTAGGAACTTAATAGCTGTGGTCTGCTGCCTGAGTTCAGGTAAGTGTTCGTACCATATTGACAAGAGCTGTTGTTGACAGTTAGGATGGGCCACAAACTGTTTGGGACAAATACAATAAAATGAGTGTATTATAACAGAATTAGTATGCAGGCTGGGAGATTTCTGTTGAGATTTACCTTTTTAAGTTCATACTTTATTGCCAGTTTTAAGCGAATGAGGCTCGGTCGGCCAGGTAATTCCAAAGTGTCATCCTCTTCTCCATTCAAAATGGCTTCCACTTCCTCAGTGCTCCGACACAGGTCCAGAAGACCCACCACAAAGTCTTTGCATTGCATAGAAAGTTTCCTGTATTCATTCTGAAGAAAACAGCCATTACAAAGAAGTCATTACAAATAAAATACAATCTGTTAATGTAATTGTTTTAGGTGGTATTCAAAAAAGAGGAATGCCGATGAATGGCCATCGTAGAAAATAAAATGAAAAACAAAAGTTCAGCTATAAGTTCTATACAGTATGTCAAGATCTATAAGTAAACTTATGTATGTTTACACACATTACATGTTCCCTCAAGTAAGGTGAATATTGCTCTGATTCTCTCTTTTAGGTTCTGTTTCAGTTACAAACCTGCCAAACAACCCCATAGAGATGGTTTTTATTTGGTTCCCATGTTAAAGTTTTAGAGGAAACTCTGTGTTTGCTGAAGATGAGCAAGTAACCACGAGAGTTTAATTTTCAGTGAGTGCTTGCTGGTATACCTTAAATTCCTTTTCAATATTGGCCAAGGATGCGAGCTCATTGCTGAGCTCCAGGGCCGCCAACACTGGATCCTCATTGGACAGAGAGAGGTAAGCCGGACTGGCCAATCCTCTGTAAGCGTTGATCCTCGAGCGGGAGTGACAGAAGGAATCGTACTTTTGATGATAATTACAGGTGTCGCAGGTACAGAAGTAATCATGAGGCTGCTCAATGCGCGCACCCTTTCCCAAAAGTATGTGCACGATCTCGTACTCGTGACAGTGAGAGGCTAGAATGACTGGAGTGACGTCATGAGAAAAGCGCGTGCCATCTTCGTCGTAGGCGAAGAAGTCATCGTGCATCGGGGCCTGGCTGGGGCTCGCGGTGAGTCTCCTTGAGTCCGCGAAAGCTCTGTGGCTTAAAATGGCTTCCACAATCCTGGTGTAACCTTTGCTGATGGCCAACAAAAGAGCATCCCCGATACGTGACAGGTTGTCTTTTTTTAACAAGAGCTCTGTCACCTCCAGGTGCTCGTTGGCCACCGCGAGCTGCAGTGCATTCTGGCCCATGTAGTCCACACAGTTTACGTCCAGCTCCGGCAGCTCCTCCAGCATCCTGCGCACCACTGGGATGTTCCCATACTCAGCAGCATCGAGGAAGCGCTCCTCCAGCGGGGTCAAGCTATTCGGATGGGCGTTGAACATGTAAGCCGCTCCTCGCACCGCCTGCCTGCGGCTCTTGGGCAGCGCCTGACGGGCCACGTTCTCACTGCGAATAAAAACACATGAGCACATGTACTTTTGGCCACCATTGCTTAAAAATAATAGACTCAGACCAGTTATCGAAAATAACTACATCACTTATTATTTCCATTTTTAAATGTTTAAATATTAAATAATAGTGGCTGTAATAAAATATTTGCATAAATATTATTAAGTATCACATTAAAATATCCAATTACTGTAATTATTAAAAATAATCTTTTTTAAGTAGTAAAAATATATCGTTTACTTACAGAAAAAATATAAGGAAACATTTTATAACAAATATTTTAGTCATAAATTATTAACTAATGATTATGAACTATTGCTGTATAAAATATTAGTTTTAATCTATATTTGTTTAAATCTACATAATAAAATATAACTATAATATATTGTGGGATTACATCATAGCATCATACATTATAATTATGGTCTATATAATCTGCATTATATCATTATACAGGCATTATGTAATTATTATCTAAAAATAAAGAAAATGAGTGCTATTTACAGCATTTAGTAATGCAAATAATTTCAAACATTGCTACAGTATATTGCCATTTAGTTGGATTAAACAACTAAAATGAGTTATTTAAATACATTAATGCTATTGACTTATGCATGATAAGCTTTTAAACAGGCATTGCTGGTTTCTAATGCGCTGTAAATCACTGACATTTTAATGAGCAAATCAGTTCACAAATATTCATCCAACACTGAGTGACAGTTTCAGGTCAAGGCATTGAACTTCAGATCATCTCATGAAGTCCTGTGAACTAAACACACAGTACACACAGAACCTCGAGCAACTCACCCATGGTAGTTTCCATAACTGCCATAACAGTCCTCGCCAAAGTGTTCGTTCATCAGTAGATTGTCCTTACTTCTGTTCCTCTTTTCGATCGAGTGATACTTTGATTGATTTTTATCCTCAAGAACAGCTCTTCTTTGATTCATCCTTTCAGCTGAGGACGTTCACGTCCGAAATGTGAATCCGCCAAAGCTTAACACGTCCTGTTATCCAAACATCCAGCTGTGAGTGATTGAGTGCGCTCTACACACTGGCAAGTCACCATCTTCTACGATGCTTTGTTATGTTCCCGTTTAAGTCTTGAGATTGTGCAGAGCACCGAGGAATTCTGACTGTTCTTTTCCACTCATTGCCTATAAATGAGGAATACAACAATCTTCATGCTCACAAAAGCTTAAAATCTGTAGTTTTGTTTCTCCACTCACTTGTTTAAACTGTTAAGACGCTGCAAACATTTAGTCCTCGTTTCAGCATCAGACAGATAAAGCAATCCATTAATATTCTGGATTAGTAACATTTTCATCAAGATTATTTCCCCATGAAGTCTCTCACCTTTCAAAACAAGTCTTTCACTGGATATTCCGGTTTTTATATGAGGAACGTTGATTAAAATCTGCTTCCAGAAATTAAGAGTCAAGTCCCGGAGTGCAGATGTAGAATCCCTTTGGGTGTATTTCAGCATTCCCAATAAACCTCTACATCCTGTGTGTTCACTGCAATCGTCCAGCTTTCTGTAAACTGTGGGAAACAGCTTCAATGGAATTCCAGACTGACCAATGGTCATGTACATTAAGCCGCGACATCACACTTTTGATTCTCATTTATTTTGCCTCTCTCTGGCATTCTTGCTCCCACAGTTTCACATCTGTGTGTATGTGTGTGTTTGTACGGAATACCACATGACTACATGTGTACGTGCTGCAGTGGTCAAGATCCTGCCCACAAAAATCTAACTGAGTACGTGAGCCAAACTGATGGGTCAAAAGGTAACCCACACAGTGGGTCATGGGAAGCCACTGTCTTGTTCCTATTCTCATGTTGATAGAGTCTGATACTGGCGACTATTATTAGACTTTTTTATTATTTCTAGGCACATGCTAACTAACTGCCCCAGGCTTGCTGCGATGCAATATTAAAAATCGTTGAAACATTTGTCCTCTAATGGGTGGTTGAGATTCCCTTTGGTTATTAATTAAAATACATGTATTTTCTATTAATTTCCGTACCACAATATTTTACCCGTTGGTTGGCAAGTTTAAAATAATAAAAAATATAATAAAATATAGTAGGGGTGGCACAGACCATAATGGTTAGTAATGTTCGAGTCATGTCTGGGTAAGTTGGCATCTCTGTGTGGAGTTTGCATGTTCTCCCCGTGTTTGTGTGGGTTTCTTACAGGTGCTCCGGTTTCCTCCACACGTCCAAAGACATGTGCTATAGGTGAATTGAATAAACTAAATTGGCTGTTGTGTATAAGTATAAATGTAAGAGTGGATGAGTGTTTTCCAGTGCTGGGATGCAGCTGGAAGGGCATCCACTGTGTAAAACATATGCTGGATAAGTTGGCCATTCATTCTGCTGTGGCGAATCCTGATGAATAAAGGGACTAAGCTGAAGGAAAATGGATGAATGAATAAATATAGTATGACCACTTACATTTTTATTTTAATTTTGAGGTATTGCTTAGTCCTATTTAAAGTTACGCAAAGGGTTGTAAAAAGCAGTTTTTGGGCATACTTCATGAGTTTCTTATTTGAAAGCAGAAAACAAAATTGAGAACACTTTTAGATTCAAGTTATTTGCGTTAATCTGGAACTTGTTTCTAGTTTGCTTAATTATCTGGTAAACCTTGTTTAAATATCAGCCGAACCTTCAGGTTTTCACTGACTTTACATGATGGAGCTGTGTGAGACATGTAATGTGTTGTGTAAAACTAAAGAAGTGTAATGAATTACAAATCTCGCTGTTCAAATCACATTTCTTTTTTGAGTCACAGTTTGGTACCATTTTTCAGATCAGCCAAAAAGGGAAGGTGGCAAATGTAATTCACTTTCCAGTTGTCATAAAAACAGTACTGGAAGAAACTTTTGGTTTTAACAAACATAACTTAGAAGCTGTAACTATCAAAAAACTTCTTCTGTCATCATTAAATTTGACAGGAAAGCCTAAATCAGGGATGTCCAACCCTATTCCTGGAGATCTACCTTCCTGCAGACTTCAGTTGCAACCCATATCAAACACTACTGCCTGCAATTAGCAAGTACTGGTCAGGTCCTAATTAATTGGTGCAGGTGTGTTTGATTAGAGTTGAAGCTAAACTAGGCAGGTAGATCTCTAGGAACAGGGTTGAGCACCCCTGGCCTAAATACTTTCATACTTGTGATTTAAATGCACCGAGGTGAACTCTCTGCAATCATTACAAATTTATGATGAATCTACAAATAAAAAAAGTTATTAATCCACGGTCACATGTGTTCCGAACCATGGGTTGTGATCTGTTGCACCCCTAGAAACTGATGTCCTGTGAGAGACTAGTGATTTCCTGTGAGATACTAGTGGTCTGTGAGACACGAGTGATGTCTGCCAGAGACTAGTGATGCCCTATGAAAGACTGGTGATGTCCCTGTGAGATTTCGAATGCAGCATTTTCAGTGTATTTAAAATCCAAAATTGTATTTGAAGCAAAAAGGGGACAAGGGATGATATACAAGCTGTATTTGCTACTGTGACTTTTTGAAATCTATACATAAATGATCTCTGTTATGATTGGCAAACCGCCATGTATTCACAGTGTTCACATTGTCATCCATCAGTGTGGCCGAATACATTAATAGACCACATTAATAGACGTTAATGTATTAATGTGGACACAGGTTATTAATGTCATACCCATTCAAAATGAGCAAAGTGAATGCTAGATGGTAACTTTAACACAACAAGAAGTGTTTTGTTGAGTAACATTCATTCATTCATTTTCTTCTTTTGGCTTAGTCCCTTATTTATCAGGGGTTGCCACAGCAGAATGAACCACCAACAATTCCAGCATATGTTTTACACAGCGGATGCCCTTCCAGCTGTAACCCAGTACTAGAAAACACCAATACACACTCTCACATTCACTCACACAATTATACACCCAGGCCAATTTTGTTTTCGCAATTCATCTATAGCACATGTTTTTGGGGGAAACCAGAGCATGCGGAGGAAACCCACGCTAACACATCGAGAGCATGCAAACACACAGAAATGGTTTGGAATTCAAACCAGCAACCTTCTTGCTGTAAGGCGACGGTGCTAAACACTGAGCCACCGAGCCACCCCTTCTTGAGCAGAAGAAATCAATATATCAGTATTCTAATCAGTATATTAGAAAGGTCACTGAATGCTCATGCCACATCCAGTCAAAATTCAGCTTTGTTATTACAGGAATAAACTTACAAAGTCATTCATTCATTCATTTTCTTTTTGACTAAGGTTTAAAGTCCCTTTATTAATCCGGGGTCACCACAGCTGAATGAACCGCCAATTATCCAGCACATGTTCTACGCAATGAATGCCCTTCCAGCTGCAACCTATCTCTGGGAAACAACCATACGCACTCATTCACTACGGACAATTTTAGCCTACCCATTTCACCTGTACAGCATGTCTTTGGACTGTGGGGGAAACCGGAGCACCCGGAGAAAACCCACGCGAATGCAGGGAGAACATGCAAACTCCACAGAGAAATGCCAACTGACTCAGTCGAGGCTCAGACCAACGACCTTCTTGCTGTGAGGCAACAGCACTACCTACTGCGCCACTGCGTCACCCAACTTACAATGTATTAATGTTTAATGTAATATATTTGATAAACATAAAAAACTACTTATTTTCATATTTTATATCATTACAGATTTACTGTTTTCATCAAATAAATATATCTAAAGTAAGTTCGAAACTTAAAAACCTTAATTTTTGTAAAACATAAACAAACTCAACCACTGGAAGTATTTAAATAAAAAAATTTACATTTTTCCTTTAATTTATTTAAAGGACAAATGACTTATTCACTTGTCGTATTAAAACAGAAATTTCACACTTTCCGTAAATCTTTTTACTTTCACTTTCTTTCAAATGAAAATCTTGATATCATGCTAACTGAAAAATATATGATTAATCTTACAAACTTACACCCACATTGGGCGGCGCAGGGGCTTAGGGGTTAGCACTGTCGCCTTACAGCAATTTCTATGTAGATTTTGCTTGTTCGAGAGTGTATGGGTGTTTGTCAGTACTGGATTGCCCCTTTTTTAAGATTTAAGATAAGTCTTTTGTGTCTCCAGAATGTGTCTGTAAAGTTTCAGCTAAAACCCATCAGATTATTTATTAAACCTTTAAAAATATTTGAGTTTTGTGCTCTGAACACAGTGTAGCTGTTTTTGTTGCCTGTGCCTTTAATGCTAGTTCGCCCTGTCCACTAATCCCACGTGCCTGTCAGAGTGTGCCTCAATCTCCGCCACAGCTGTGTCAGATTATCAGCACAGTGACAGACATGAAGCAGATCTCACTATATGTTTGTGAGAAATACTACAGTAAGAACTTTATCAATGAGTAATATATGATATATTTGTTGTGGAGTTAATTCAAACCCTTCTGCAACGGTGAGTCACATACAATGTCGTTACAAAACAGAGATTTCACACTTTCCGTAAACATTTTTACTTTCACTTACTTTTAAATGAAAGTCTTGTCATCAAGCAAACTGAAAATTAAATGACTAATCTAACAAACTTACACCCACATAGAGTGGCACGGGGTTAGGGATTAGCACTGTCGCCTCACAGCAATTTCTGTATAGAGTTTGCATGTTCTCCTCGTGTTCACATGGTTTTCCTCCGGGTGCTGTAGTTTCCCCCACAGTAAAGAAATGCAATAAAAGTGACACAAAATTGGCCTTTGTGTATGGGTATGTATGTGTGTGTAAATGTGAAAGTATATGGGTGTTTCCCAGTAGTGGGTTGTGGCAGGAAGGCCATCCGTTGTGTAAAACATATGCCGGAATAGTTGGTGGTTCATTTTGCTGTGGCTAACCCTAATGAATAAGGGACTAAGCCTAAGGAAAATGAAAGGATGGACTTCACACAAGTTATGTTTTTGCAATCTCTATTTTTTTTTTTTTTTGCTTATAAAAAGAGTGAGTCAAAATACCAAGTAGATGAGGCCTTGTATAAAAAGGAAGGTGTTTCGACATGATTCCTTCAAAATAAGCCATTTTTTCCATACAGTTTTGATAAATGCATCATTGTAGAGTAGGCAGGAAACTTTGCCTTCTGAGAGCTTTATGTGTGAGTAAGCCATTTCAAATATTAATCTCAATTGTGCTGTAAATACCAGATTCTTGAAGTCATATCCTTGTGTTCAATGTTATCTGTTTCCTTCTACTCTCTCACGGTGACTCCCACATTGGTATAAGGGCGAAACGAACCCCTTCAGCACAACTGGACTTTTTGTTTAGTCTTTGGCAAGACAAAATTTGGCAGGATTCTTTGCTGTAAATAGACATAGTACAGATGGTTTAACATATACACAAACATAACGTCTGACATATTTACCAAAGGACAGCGATGCTAATAGCAGGGCCACACACTACGCAGCTTATTTTAGGCGTGTTAATTATCTCTGTCCTGCCAATGAATCAGGATAAACAACTGGCCACCCACGTCAATGGCGACCGAGCTATTTGCCCTTATTTCAAAATGCCTGGTCACTTAAAAGCCTTTCATTGTCAGGACGTCATAAAACCTTCTTCATTAAACGTAATGCATGAAGTCTACAAAGTGCGCCCATGACAGTAAATACATCACATAGAATACATAGGAGTTCATCTTCTGTCTTTAGGCTATTAGTCTATTATCATGATTTGTGTGTCTACTGTAGAGCCAATGGTGTAAACTGTGCCTTTGTTTCTGTCATTTTAAACATCTCTAAAGCTGGCTTTATATGCTGCAACGCAAGTTCATACTTTGAATTGCAACTTAAGTTTTTGTAATTATGACTTAAGAAAGTATTTCACTGTAAAAAATTACTTTTTAATTGAAACAAATCAGTCTGATGAGTCATTTTAACCTTAGTGTGTAAATGTGAGAGTGTATGGCTGTTTCCCAGTACTGGGTTATGGCTGAAAGGGCATCTACTGTATAAAACATGCCGTAATAGTTGGCGGTTCAATCAACTGTGGTGACCCCTGATAAATAAGGGACTAAGCCAAAGGAAATTAATGAGTCATTTTAACTTAAAGGGCACCTATTTTACCCCTTTTTCAAGATTTAAGATAAGTTTTTTGTCTCAAAAATGTGTCTGTAAAGTTCAGCTCAAAACACCCATCAGATTATTTATTAGACCTTTACAAATATTGGAGTTTTCTGCTCTGAACACAGTGTAGCTGTTTTTGTTGCCTGTATTTGTTGTGGAGTTAATTAATGCCCTTCTGCAACGATGAATCACACACAATGTTGTTACAAAGTTCACACACAACTCTACACTGTTTTTGCAAGGTGAATGTGACAGTATACACAATAATATCTACTGCTGCATGGACATCCGTTATGTTAATGTACAAAATAAACCTGATTTAACGTCCACAAACTGGGATTGAAGCGTTTTGTTTTTTTATAATTGTACTGATATGCGCCTATGGTGATAAAGACGGTAAAATCTCTGTAATTCATTACAAGCATGCACTGTTTTAATCTTGTTAACTCATTCTTGATCATATGTGATGATGACTGATGATCACAGAGAGCCGAACAGCTCTTTTAACCCCAGTTGCTTTGCGCATGTCTTGTCTTGTTGATATGATTATACGCGTTTCCACAGAGACAAGTTAATACGCGGTTGTCATTCAATTTGGTGGGCGGGGAAACCGCACTCCTATGTCAAGTTGCGGTGGGCCTCAAAATGGGAGGGATTTGGATCCTATTTTACATTAGGAAATTAAAAATAGAGACTTATTGTCTTTTATATGACCCCAATATGACTGTGGACACACTATACCTAAACGGAGTTCTGTCCAAACAGCTTACAAAAGATGATTTTCATCATAGGTGCCCTATGTAATCTATATTAAACTGACTTAAAATTAAGTTAGTAAACATGATTTACTTAGTTATAATTGACATAACATAAGTTATATGAGTTACTTATCATTAACATAAGTTGTATTTAACATTAAAAGTGCTGTTGTCATGACTTATTGATGATATAATATTTACATGTGCCGCTGACCATGTGAAAGAAACAAGATCTTATTATATTGTACTTCAAACTTTATCTGACTACTGTTTTGGCTTCTAGTGTTTTGAATAAAATCTACTGTCTCAGGCAAACTAAGTCCAACAGTCAACTGATAAAGTGCTTCTGAGAATTTCAAGAGCTTGTCAGTTGCTTTCAGACTGAATTATTTGGTTTAATCTAGCAGCGTTCCATGTAAACAAAACATGTTAGTAATGACACATTTCCTTTTATTCATAACAATCGAAAGATTAGTCTGTATATTTTGGACCGTGACCCAGGATTAAAAAGCATGGTGGACTAAATGACAATCCCAAAAGGTTTATTCTCATCTTTTGTTTTTAAACCTCAAAAATGCATAAATGTTTCATAAACCATTTGTTGACCTGGGGTGTATATCTTTCAGGGATTTAACCTTAAACAGCTGGATAAAACTGTGAATTTATTATATTAATAATAATAAGTAATAAAACAAAGCACATTTTGTAATTGTTTGGAACCTAGAGGTGGTTTAAAAAGCTTCACCGCCATAATAACTTACAATCTGATATACATTAAAGATGTTTTTACATTTGTGATGTTGTTTCCTTGGTTTTTTTTTTTTTTGGGGGGCCAAAAAAAGATTTTTACTTTTAATCCTGATTCCCTTAGAAATTACTGAATAACTGTCATTTTTTAAATATAGTATCTATATACACACTCAAATAATACTTTTATGAACAACTTGTATCACTGAAAAAAAAAAGATTCAAAGTTGATTCCTTGGATTTGCTAAAAAAAAAAAAGTGGTTGTAAACAATTTATTTGGGCTGAATTTAAACAAACAAGTTCAGTTGAACATTACTAAATTTAATTTGTTTAAAATCAACCCATACAAGTTGTTTGCAACAATTTTGCAGAAATCTTTTTTTTTTGTGTACTGAGCATTCAAAAACATGCTTTGTGCTGGGCTAAGTGTGCCTATCATTATGTGTGCATGTGACAACGTTATATATATATATATATATGTATGTATGTATGTATGTGGATCAAGGTTAAGATGCCAACATTCACAATTATTCACATAAACTGCACTAACAAATCAATTGCTCCAGAGCTTGTTTTAAACATTTATTCAATTTCTTTTAGCTTAGTCCCTTTATTTTTCAGGGTTCACCACAGCTTAATTAACTGCCGGTTTATCCAGCATATGTTTTACACAGTGGATGCCCTTCCAATGTGGATGCAATATCTCTGTCATACTATGTCATATATTCATAGTTCATAATGATGAACAGAGGCTTACAAAGAAGCTGGAGGTTTACGCCTTGGATTGAATGAGGATGAAGTTATTGGATGATGCCCTTAGTCATGTTTCAAAAAAGGAAAAAAAATAAAAACATAGGGTGCAAGTTCTATAGTTCAAATAACAACTTGTTCCATTTCAGTGCATCATTTACAGATGCTTATTTTAAATTCGGGATCTCAACTCTTCTGATCTTCATAGTCACTGATTTAATTTGGACAAGTGTGCCATTTTTGGTCCAGGTGTCCCAGTGGATATCTGAGTGGGTGGAAAAGTCCTGTTCCATTGGCGAGCCATTCAAATTTGCCTTTCCACACTGGTTAAACCACCATCCAGTGTTGTTCTGGTTCACACTGCAGCTCTCAACAGCTTTATCCCCAAAAGTGCAGAATGGAGAACAGCCATCGTTGTCCACATCAGTGGTACTGAAAGGGGCAGTGTCTTGATTCTGCTCTTGGTCATACCCACGGAATGCATCTCCTGCAAAAAGAGAAACCGGTTCGAATTTCAGTAGGCTTCTAGACAGTGCCACTTATACATTTCTCCTCAGCAGAGCCAGAAGGAATTTGTGGACGTTGCATTTTCCATGCTGATTTAATGGAAAAAGCAGCGTAGTATTTGCAATTGGCTGACCTGCACTACCAGCGTATCTGCCAAGGTGAATTGCGAAGAATTTGGTTTCGTCTTCAATCCAGAAACTATCATATGAAGCATAGGCCGTGGATTCATCTTGTGAGATCAGAGACACGTGCAGCTGGAAACGTGTGTTTCTTTGATTCACAATACTGAAGATCTTCCTCAAACCCAACCAGTGTTCACCTGCAATGTTTTAATGAGAAAGTAGACAACACGTAATTTGTATACTGAAAGACAGTTCTGAACTGCTAAAGCAAGTCATCAGCAATTGCAGATTTGCGTCACTTCTGATATCATGCAACCAATGGAGTTTCAGGTTGATAGACCATTTCTTCTAGTGTATCACCATTCAAATAAATTCTGTCATTACTCTCCTTGAGTGTTTACTAAGGGTGCTTTTACACTTGGTTCAGTTGCCTAGACTGTACCCAAGATTGTCCCCATTTGGCACCTTCTCGGTACACGCTGTCTTTTTTATTTTGAACTTACGGTACACTTGCATCATCAAGCTGCTGTTGTGTGTACTGCTAGGTGACGTACACTAAAGCAAAGCGGCAAAATGGAAAGACGTACGTACATTGCAGTCATTCTGTTTTTACTGATTCTTTTGCTTTTGGACATACAGAAAGCGACTCGTGTCCATCTGCTGCAAAACTATTATAAACATTCAGAACAAATCGCGACGTCTGCAGAAGCTGTTTTTGGATGAGACAAGCAGAAATTAGTATGTGATACACAGACACAAACTAAAGAACGTTATGAAAATGATAGTTTGTTGTACAGTTGGCGGTTCACTTCAATTATTTGGTACAATTGCATTCATATCAGAACCCCTTACCACCTCTTTCAGGCAGACTCGATCACGTTTCAGGGGTGCCCACCTAACCCTTAGGGTGCTTTCACACTAGCACATTTGTCCACATGTTTAGCTAGTGTGAACGTGTCTTCTGAACTCAGGTGCGCACCTTGACCCGTACCCGAGTCTGCCTGAAAGAGGTGGTCTAGGGTACCATTCATGCGAACTCTGGTCTGGTTCACTTCTGGTATGAATGCAATCATACCAAATATTGGAAGTTAACCACCGGCTATTCAACTATTAAAAACTATTGTTTTCATAACGTTCGTTCGTCTGTGTGTCTGTGTATCACATACTGTACCTTGGTGACAAGCAGGACTAAGCCAGGGCAAACACAGTGATAATGTCCTCAGCGCCACAGCCATATCACCCTGCAGACCAAGACCAGTTACTCACTGAAGCTAAGCAGGGCTGAGCCTGGTCTGTACCTGGATGGGAGACCACATGGGAAATTTGGTTGCTGTTGGAAGTGGAAACCTGCCGTCTGTGTGGGTCCTAATGCCACAGTAAAAGGGATGGAGACACCAAATTGTCAGTGGACGCCGTCTTTCGGATGAGACATTAAACCAAAGTCCTGACTCTCTGTGGTCATTAAAAATCCTATGGCACTTCTTGTAAAGAGTAGGGCTGTAACCTGGTGTCCTGGCCAAATTGCCTCCATTGACCCTCACGATTATGGCCTCCTAATCATCCCCATCCACCGAATTGGCTTCATCGCTGTCTCTCCACCTTACCTATAGCTAGTGTGTGGTGTGTGCAGCCAGCGTTGTCCTGTGGCTGCTTTCGGATCATCCAAGTGAACGCTGCACACTGGTGGTGGTGTGGAGAGACCCCCTCATGATTGTGAATTTCTTTGGGTGTATGGCCACACAATAAATTTCTTTGGGTGTATGGCCACACGCTATATAAAATCCACATTACTTACTTAATGTCTGCTTGTCTCCTCCAAAAACAGCTTCTGCAGACATTGGGTTATGTTCTGAATGTTTATAATATTATTACAGCAGATGGACGCGAGTCACTTTCTTTATGTCCAAAATCAAAAGAATCAGTAAAAGCTGTTGTGCGTATGTCTTTTCATTTTGGCGATTTGCTCTAGTGTACGTCACCTAGCAACAGCCGTACACACAACAGTAGCTTGATGACGCAAGCGTACCGGGGTTCGGAAGGAAAAAAGACAATGTGAACACAAACCAACCAAAAATGTGACAAGAGGGACAATCAAACTTGGGTACAGTCCAGGCAATTGAACCACGCATAAGCACCCAAAGTGTGAACTAAAAAAAACTTTTGAAAGTTAAAAATCTTAATGCGTAATCAGTGTTTTAACCAATCACAACAGACTGGGCCATCTGACCAATCAGAGCAGAATAGGCTCCTGGAAATGAGAGCCTAGAAGTGACAATGGAGGTGATTTGATGCATCAAATTACAAAAATCAAATTACGGCTTACATGAGGTGTTTCTAATGCTGAGTCTATGAGGCAGAACAGTAAATTTGAAATTTTTCTGGCTGCCGTCGGTCTCACGCTATTCTTTTTCTGCAAGTCTTGATAATGCCTTCATGGAGTTTTTCTTTTATTATTTTAGCTAATAGAATTGTTTGTTGTACTCTGCCATTCACTGCGCTTTACTCAAGTTTATCCAACTATGAAGACTTCCTCTACTGAGAAATCCAGAAATGTGAAAAGGGTCCATCGTAGAACCTTTGACCTATTGATTTTGGATACTGCACCTGGTAAGTGTCCAAATCCATCCAAGTACTGTGACCACATTCGTTTAAAGTCAGTGAGACCGTCTGTCCGCCTTTGTATCACTGTCCATCCTCCCTCCATGTCGTCCATCTCACAAAACACCTATTAAACAGCCAGTTCAACACACTTCATTTTTCCATCTGTAATTTGCTGTTAGATTAAAATAACCGTGGTTGGAAATTTCTAAACAAAATAAAAGGAGGTACTTTCCTCAAACGAAACATCTGTGTTTTCTGGCTGAATTATGTAAATTCCACTTGGGATTTTTGGGGAAACGGCACCTAGTGTTTCTTTTATGTCACTGCAGTCTTTCCCTGTGAAACGAGAGGGAATTCACTAAGATAATAAACATTTTGAGGAACGTTTGGCAGCATGTTAATCATCTTACCGTGGGACTCCATGGGCTTTACAGAAAAGATGTCACTGTTGCTTCTCTGCACATCTGAACTGAGCGTATTCACTTTGGCCATGAGATCAATTATCTAATCAAGTTGAAATGTTTAGACTGCAGAAGTAAAACTGGTTTGAAAGTTTGGAATATTTTACAGTATTTCTTCACCTGGCTTGATAGGAATTCCAAAGCCTTCTGCTGTTCCTCAATGAGATCTCTAATCAGCTTCCTTGTGTTTCTTGTATATGACACCATGGTATGCTGGAGGTTTGCTAGGAGTTGCATAGAGAACAGAACGGGTCAAATCTACAGATTATTAAGCAGAAGTACAAGCAGAATATGTAACTTATTAAAAACATGCAAACACCAACTGCACAAGGAGTGTTTCTCATCACGCATTAGCTTTGCAGTCATTTCACATGGCATGGTGCATTTGTCTTTGCTTGGTTCTTTGTGATAATATAGTTTTTGCTCTTGGGGAGAAACATCCTCTAACTCTTCAGTTAATGTAGCCACTGTGTTGCCATTCTGTTGAAAAAAAGAAAGTACACCACATTATAACATTTAGGGGACAAATGCATCCAATGAGACCAGTGGTAAATTGTAAATTATTACATCTAATCTAGAATATAAGGTTCCAAAAATGCAGATAATTTACATTTAAAATGCATATATTATTTATAATTCATTTTTTATTTGTAATACTTAATTTTTTTCTCTTTTATATTTTCATTTCTAAAGGAAAACCCTTTTTCTTTGGACCATGTCATTTTTGTTTTCATTTTTGTTGATGTTTGTTTGTGTGATGCTGGGATTCCCAAACATTTTAGTCAGTAAAACAACTTCCCCTGAAATTATAAAAAAATTCTGAAGTTCAAGTGTCTGATTTTGTTTTAAGTCATTCAATAATTTATTCATTCATTTATTTTCCTTAGGATCAGTCCCTTATTTATCAGGGGTCGCCACAGTGGAATGAACCGCCAACTATTCCAGCATATGTTTTACGCAGCGGATGCCCTTCCAGTTGCAAACCAGTACTGGGAAACTCAAATTCACCTACTGCATGTTTTTGAACTGTGGGGGAAACCGGAGCACCTGGAGGAAACCCACACGAACAGAGAGAACACAAAAGCTCCATATGGAAATGCCAACTGACCCAGCCGGAACTTGAACCAGTGACCTTCTTGCTGTGACGTGACAGTGATATCCATTAAGCCTTTGTGCAGCCCTAATTTTGTTTTTATTATTCATTTCAATTGTAGCCTATTTGTGGCGACAGTGGCGCAGTAGGTAGTGCTGTTGCCTCACAGCAAAAAGGTCACTGGTTCGAGCCTTGGCTGGGTCAGTTGGCGTTTCTGTGTGGAGTTTGCATGTTCTCCCCACATTCGCGTGGGTTTCCTCTGGGTGCTCCGGTTTCCCCCCACAGTCCAAAGACATGCGGTACAGGTGAATTGGGTAGGCTAAATTGTCCATAGTGTATGAGTGTGTGTGGATGTTTTCCAGAGATAGGTTGCAGCTGGAAGGGCATCCGCTGTGTAAAACATGTGCTGGATAAGTTGGCTATTCATTCCGCTTTAGCGACCCCAGATTAATAAATGTACTAAGCCGAGAAGAAAATGAATGAATGAATGTAGCCTATTTGTAATACTTTTAATTAAACACTCTTCATGAAGCTGTCAATCATTTGCTTTTCATCAGCTTATAAAAGACTTGCAATTCTTTTACATCAGTTTCAAAAAACTCAGATGTAATGTAATGTTTAATTCATTTTATAATTTAATTTTTGTGTTGATGACAAAAAATTATATACAGTTGAAGTCAGAATTATTAGCCCCTCCTTGAATGTTTTCTTCTTTATAAAGTATTTCCCCAAATGATGTTTAACAGAGCAAAGAAATTTTCACAGTATGTCTGATAATATTTTTTTCTTCGGGAGAAAATCTTATTTGTTATATTTTGGCAGTAAAAGCAGTTTTTAATTTTCAAAAGCCATTTTAAGGTCAATATTCTAGCCACTTTAAGCTAAATATTTTTCGATAGGCTACAAAACAATCATTATACAATAACTTGCCTAATTACCCTAACCTGCCTAGTTACCCTAATTAACCTAGTAAAGCCTTTAAATGTCACTTTAAGCTGTATAGTCTTGAAAATATCTAGTAAAATATTATGTACTGTCATCATGGCAAAGATAAAATAAATCAGTTATTAGAAATGAGTTTTTAAAACGATTATGTTTAGAAATGTGTTGAAAAAATCAGCTCTCCCTTAAGCAGGGGGGATAATAATTCAGGGGGGTGGGGGTGGGGGTATTTTATTCTAATTTAAACAAATTAGAACAAAAATATTCTAAAGTAATCCAAAAGTAGTGAGAATGCACTAAAGTAGATTGCAATTTTCATCACTGTCATCAGGTATGAGCTTCTTTTGTAATCCAGCATGCATACAGCAAAATATTGATTTGCACACTGTTAATTTGTACTGTTATAATAAAAATAATAAAATATACATTGAACATAGTGTTATTTTACAGGAAACTGATTAATTGTTTTATTTCTTTTTTTACCAGCTAGAGTTATATAAGTACCAGTTATGTAAGCAGCCTTACCATTTTGTTTTTTAAATCAATTTTCATGCAATATGTATTTGATTTAAATATAAAAAACATGATCAGATATTGCAAGCATATCTCATTTAATGACTAAAATAATCAAGATGTTAAGACAATGAATCAATTAATTAACTAATTACACTCGACAGGAAACATTTATAGCACTCACCACAGTTAATGATGCAAGAAGAGGCAGAAATAAAGTGATCCAGATCATCCTGGTGTATGTAGCAGTCCCACATGTGACAGTGTGCAGACGTGCACTTTCCAAAGAGATGGACGTCGTCTTCTGTGTTGTCTTGTGGGCTGGTCTGCCTGGACAGAAAAAAAAGAAAAAAAAATTAAACCTCACAAAAAAAGACAAACAACAGTTCTCACCTGAACAAAAAGTGTCCAGACTAATTCTGTCTCATTTCTAAACTACTGTTACTTTATTGCATTTCAACAACATCCTGTATTGGCTATGAAAACCAGATGCTGAAATGTGACACTGCTTTTGGTTGAGGTGGGAATCAACAGGACCCGAAGCAGCATACGTAAATTAAATTCCTTCCAGAAACACAGTCGATCCTGGACCTGACAGCAGGAAAACTAAGATGGATTACCTTCACAACACTAGGACTGGCAAAATACGTTCTTGTTTGTAATGAGCCATTTGTCCAATTTGCTCCCTGTAGCTTAGCTTGTAAAGCAAAGCCTTATGAGTATGATTCCCATCATTCAAACAGTTAAAAAGTAGGCTACTATATAGCACTGCAAGCTGCTTTAGGTAATCTCAAATGTATAGCCATAAGTGATGTGCACCATACACATAGCATGCTTTGCAGAATTTTTGGTCATGGTGAAAAGGGATTCAATGTCCTTCAGCTCTCCTCAAGAACACATCTGTTAGATATTAGACAGTTCTGTTGAGTATGCAATATGCCCATTACAAACACTGGATGACCAAAACATATGATTGCTTGCTGTATTGCACAGGTAGGCCTAACGTAAAGAGATAAGCCAGCATGGGTGTTCATATTCATTTCTAATATCACTTCTTTTTTATAGATATGTAAAAAGATATGACTCTTTTATATAAGTCTATTTTTAAATGCAATATATCTACAAAACTTTTTAAAATGAAATCATAAACACCTACGACTATGAGTAATTTTAAAATTATCACCACGTACAAGTAACCAAATGAGGGGTGTTATTGGAGTGTTATTGATAGCGTTTAGAAATATGACTTATCAGAAACTGACTCATAAAATCCAACACGTAATGTTTGTCGGACTTACTGAGAAGTCAAATGTCACACTTCAAAGGCACGAGCATCGCTCTAAACTAAAGCCTACAACGTTTGCTTGATGGACGTTTCTTCTCCCCTAGACGAGAGAGACTCTTTTTTTAGTTGTCATGGTAACAACAACAATAGGCATCATGGCGGAGGAGAAACTTTCATTTGAACAAACGTTTAACTTTAATCTGCTTTCCACGAAAAGCTTTAATTTTCAGCAAGACCCTAAAACATCGCGACTTCTGATGAAATGGTAAGAGTGTGATGTGTTTGTACGTTTTAACTAAATTCACTCGACAAGAGACGTGTTTGATAAAAATATGTTGTGTCCCAGTGCATCTCAATATTTTTAAACTTAGATTAAATATATTAGCAGTGCCAAATGGACACTTTATTAATGGGTAGGAAATTTAGTAAGACTTATGAAACGACATATGTTCATCCGTTACAAAAGCTAAAAATGTGCAACTTATCTCAGAATGAGCCTTTTACTATTGACTTAATTAAATAAAACACATTCGCCCTCCCACAAACAATGATTCTAGCCTAGTTATAAAAATATAGTCATATAATATAGTTTATTTTCACAGCTTACTATTGTACAGAAAAAAGCTGAATTTTTTGCTTCAAATAAATACATTTATAAACATTGTTCACGTAATTAGTCCATGAAATGTGCTTAACATAACACATTTGTTGTTCTAAAGTTGGTGTAGGTGTTTTGAGTCATCAAATTTGTAAGGTACTTTCCTGTGTTTTGTCTTTAAATGTCAATAAGGTAAATTAGGTTAACTAGTTAACTCACCCACATTAGGCCATCCAAGATTCGGGTGTTGCTGTTTTCTTTCTTTAGTAGAGTATTAAAAGAAGATTAAAAATATTTACAAAATTAGGTCAATGGTTATTCAAAATCCTATAGACAAAAACACCATTAATCCCCTTGACTCCTGAAATGAGTTTCAGATTAAATTCATCTTAATGTTCTACTTTTAAAATAAATTCTTTAAATTTAAATGCTGCTGAAGTGTTTTATCAGCATTTGGATATCTTGCAGAAACTACAATAACAGAAAAAAAGGTTTCTCTTATAAAATGGTCAATGACAAATTCTAAAAGAAGATCTTACCCATCTTTTTGTAATGTTGCATTTTTTGTTAATTATGTTTCCAATTGTCTTTTAGGTCCATGCTGGGTCGAATTACAGCACAAGCCTTCAATTTTGATCAATCTTTCCAGCCTTATAGAAGCAATGACTTTGCATGGGTAAATAGTTACAAAATAAAGGGATAGTTCTCTCAAAAATGCACAGTTTCTCACCCTTGAATGGTTTTTATTGTCTATTATACGCAAAATATTTTTTTTAGAAAATGTTAAAAACCTGTAACCATTGACTTCTATAGCAGTAAAAACAAAAAGTCAGTGGTTTTCCAGAATTTTTCAAAATATCATCTTTTATGTTCAACACACAAACATGTAAATGACAGAATTTGTAATTTTTGGTGAACTATCCCGTTAATTTCACCATTTAGTGTCACCGCAGCATTGAATAGCACATGTGTACATTATTTCTTTTAGAATTTCTTTCAAGATCCATGCGTGAAGAACAACTTAAAGGTCCTTGATCCCACCGGATCATGGACACTGCTGGGTATGTTATAACGTATTTCTGATAAAGTATACTCATAGTGGAATTTATTTTTAATGTTTTATGTTAACTTCTTATACACTTCAATAAAGCCTAATAATGTATTTTTACCCATTTACAGGAGACATAACACATGTAAATGTTGAAGTTGTCCCATGTACAAAAGTTTCGGTGGATATATTCGATCCAATTTACTCAAATGGAATTTTGCGGCCCTCCGGACACATTGTCAAATGTTACCATGAAATATATCCTGACTTTGATGAGCTACGGATGGTATGAATTATTTTATCTTCAAATATTTTTATAGATGCTATCCAACGTTATTTTAAATGAAAACTATTAGAGAAGTACATGTTGATGGTTGTTACAATCTTCTCCTTTAGGGATTCAGAGAGGAGGTAACAAAATAAAAACGGTCAAATTAAAAAGTAATAATAATTATAATTAACTAATATTTTATAAAGTGCACTGAGAAATCTCCATTTTCTCTATCCCAGCCTCAGAACAACCTTTCACTTAAAAAATATATAAGGGAAAAACCAGAGAAACTGAGATAAAGATAACAGAAGAATGTAGCTTTTATTTATGGCTTAGCAAAGCCAGTCTTTTTAAATATTCAAAGATTTTAAACAACACTTTAATGGCCAAATTGTCAGGAGAGAGTAAGGCCAAAATTCATTTATTTTATTTTTGGCTTTTTAATAATCTAGGGTCACCACAGCGGAATGAACCGCCAACTTATTAAGCACATGTTTTAAGCAGCAGATGCCCTTCCAGCTACAACCCATCCCTGGGAAACATCCATACACTCTCACTCACTCACACTATGGTCAGTTTTAGCATACCGAATCCACCTGTACTGAAACTGGAGCACCCGGAGGAAACCCACGCGAATATGAGGAGAACATGCAAACTCCACACAGAAATGCCAACTGACCCAGCCAAGGCTTGAACCAGCGACCTTCTTGCTGTGAGGGGAACGTGCTACCCACTGCGCCACTGCCTCGCCCTGTAAGGCCTAAATGACAAACAAAAATAAAAGCTTCCTAAATAGTTAAAAATATGAAATTCCCTATTACAAAAAAAAAGACATCTTACCACACGCCCTGACTAAAAGCAAAACTGGAGAAAACATTAAAGGGGATAAACCCTACATTACTTGCTTATGTTAAGTTACTCTTACGGGCGACGCAGTGGGTAGTGCTTTTGCCTCACAGCAAGAAGGTAGCTGTTTCGAGCCTCGGCTGGGTCAGTTGGCATTTCTGTGTGGAGTTTGCATGTTCTCCCTGCGTTCACGTGAGTTTCCTCAGGGTGCTCCAGTTTCCCCCACACTCCAAAGACATGCGGTACAGGTGAATTGGGTAAGCTAAATTGTGCGTAGTGTATGAGTGTAAATGAGTGTGTGTGGATGTTTCCCAGAGAAGGGTTGTGGCTGGAAGGGCATCCGCTGCATAAAAATGTGCTGGATGAGTTGGTGGTTCATTCCGTTGTGGCGATCCCGGATTAATAAAGGGTCTAAGCCGAAAAGAAAATTAGTAAATGAAGTTGTTCTTACACAGAAAGTTACATGTCTTTCCTGTCAACTCTTCAGTCACAATTTCACATATTCAGGTAGCTTTTACAGACACAAACACATTTTCTTTATTGGCCACAATTGTAAAAAAAATGTAATTATGTTTAACTTCATACATATTTAATGTAAGGAAATTTGTCTGAATTCTACACCATTTTTACTTTTATTTGTTTAGGATGCATTTGTGTGGTTTTGCATTTAGTGTCTGATCAACCTATTATTTTTTTATCATTAAAAGGTTAAAATATGAGTTCATTTAAACTGCACAAACACTAAACTAGCTCTGTTCGACAATTGGTGTGTCCTGTTTAATCTAAAATGACTAAAACTGAAACTAAATAAATAAATATCTGTTTTCTGGCCTGGTTTTGGCAGCTTTTGCTTGAAGCAGACTCTGAATATCATCATATAATCAGTCCCAGTGATCGTCAGGAGTTTTTGTTCCGGCTGTTCAAACATATGGTCTTGGGTGGTGAACTTTGCCAATATGAGGATGTCATCGATCCTTACATTGAGACAGTGAAGATAATGTACAAAGACTTGGTCAGGTGAGAAACAGATGTTGCATTTTTGTAGTTAATATGTGTTTCTGAAATGAATAAAAAACTAAATATTACTAATAATATATAAGCAAAATATTTAAAGGGGATATTTTGGTCATATTTTGGCTATTTTGTTTTGTGTCTTCCACAGTGTCCAGAGGGATACAGACAGGAAAGAGATCAATGTGATTACAACAATCTTAAAAGTTTCAGCTTATGTATGCACCCTAATACTTTTCTGTGCACAGTTAACTTTAAAGATGCAGTCAGCATTTTTCCCCTATTAATGATATATTATCTTTCTTTTTTTTAGGATCACATTGGATTGCGCTATCCATCTGCTACAGAAAACGAGCAGACATTTGCTTACCTCTGTATTGATCCTTGTAAAAAACATGTGTATGTTTTGTACCATTCATTTGGTGTAGGGGATTTTTCAGAAAACTAAGCGCTCTCAATCTAGATCTATGTAAAAAACTGACATTATAATTAGACACTGATTAGACAGTATGCCTTTTCCATTTATAATCCTTGATTTATTAATGATAGGAGAACATCTGTTAAATGAATTGTTCTATGATTAAAATGAAAATGTATATATGATTATATTGTTCCTGAAGTAAGAATATAATTTAGCACATTCTCTTTCATTTAGCTTGAAATAATAAAGTGTTTAGTTCTTTTCAACTGGATAATTTTGCCTGCTTTTATGTGATTAATATCTATTTGTATAAATAATTAATTTAAAAACAGTTTTAAAAATCTGTTTATTTGTACCATAATTCACAGATGACAATAAAATGTCTTTAACCAAGGTTTACCCAAAATCTTGTCAGGCATATGTAGAAAATGAATTATTTGATGACATTAGAAGACTCTTCTTTTTGGAATCAGTGTAGCCAAAAAATACTATAATTGTCATTTTAGATCTGTCTTTCAAAACACTAGGTTTTACTAAATAATACATAAACTAATAAGCAATAAATGGCAATCAAAATGTAATAAAATATGGTCAGTTATTCTTTCATGTATTTTAAGTATGGATCAGAATAAAGGTTTTAATTTTAAACATGTCCTACATCGAATTTTAGTCACGTTTTTGTTTCCACACATTTTGACATATTATTTTAGAACGGATTTTTGAAGTATCAAAGTAGCCTTTACCTTCAGTATAGCATATGCTACAAAGAGCGCATAAGAAATGCTGGATACACCATCTGGTATGAAAATTGTGTTTGAAACCTAATCGGCGACAGGAAACATTCATGTTAAAAGGATTATTCCCGCACCTTATGTGAGCATGAGTAGAGAAGATATATTGAGAAATGATACAACTGAAAGGCTCGACTTAAAACCAGACGATGGTGGAACAAGCTACTTGTAAAACAGCGCTGTTATTACTTAGCTATAAATTGTTAACAGCGTTACTTAGCTGTTGTTGCTTATAACTATATTACTTATAAAACGTAGCTTTTTAGCTTATCTGCTTTGCACTGCCACAAGGCAGCCTTTGGCCATTCTTCTATTTTTGGTAATAAGTTAGGAATGACATGGAAAAGCTTATGAGTTGGCGTGAACTATTTGCGCTTTGTGGGCAATTTGTGGGCGTGTCTGGAAAGTCCCTAGCATTTCGTAATTCGTAGGCTAACGTTACTGTCAATTCTTAAATTGCATTTTGCAGTTCTACTTCAGACTAGAGAAATATATATTGTCTTTCTGGAGGCTTTTATGCTATCATGATTTTCTGCCTTCATCTTCACTGGTGAGTAAAACTGAAAGTAACTTCATTCTAGCCTGAAGGCACTGCACCACACATTTATCATTTATTTATATTATATAGCTGTAAAATATGTTCAATTAATTACCCTCTACCGCACGCATCATGATAAATCTGTAATATATATATATATATATATATATATATATATATATATATAAATTGACTGTTTTTCTTTTCCTAAAATGGATTAACTTAAGGTGCTGTAAAAAAAAAACAATTGGAAAAAAATATTTTTTAAGGTATTTTATGATATGTTGCCATATGGCAACAACGTCCAACAGTGGATCTAACTTAGAAACTTTAAATGTAAAACTTTCCTTATAATTAATATTTTATGTTTGAAATAATTGAATTGGTGTTGCAGCAGTATGAGCTTTAACACAGAACTTATAAATAACACCTTATACATACTTTACCACATCTCATATTCCAACAGTTTACATTTATTATATTCTTTTTTGCTGAATATTATTAAAAACAATCATAAAATTGTATTATCATGTAAACAACATACACTATATATCAATATTTTCTCCAGTAAATATTATAACAAATAAATAACAAGTCTAGTATATCCAGATGCATCAGAATACTGTAGCTACTAGCTAACAATGTTTATATATATTATACTATATATTATACTACACCTGCTTATCTGCCTCTGAGCTAACTTACCTACATGTCTCTATCAAATGTCCAGTCTGCATCATTCTCATGGTCACTAAAACCCATCTCATCCTCACTTTCATCTGCAGGAAGAGCCAGTTCTGTCCTTTTCTTCTTTCACTTACCATAGAACATGGTGGTGCTCACTAATACACTGTTCCCTGTATTGATGTCTATTCAAAAGCAGTATTGCCATTAAAACTAGATTTTATCCTTAATGCAAATGCCATTAACATATGACTAATCAACATTAGATGACTAGCTTTCATGTTGTTATTATTACAACTTAAATGTTCACATCTGACCTTGCTAGCTAGCTAATCCATAGCAATATTGCATGTTCCACTATTGCACAGTGTTGCCAGTTGTGAACGTCATCATAACTTACTGGAGGTGATGTTTCAGATTTTTTATGGATCTGACATAATTTGATACTTTGTTTTTATTGACGTCTACATTTGCATTTAACAACTACTCACAATAAAACGCCAGTCTGTCAGAAATCGCGCTACAGAAAAACACAGCAGGTCATGTGACTTAACCAAAACACATTATTGGCTACTCTAAGGTCTTCTCTTTCCATATATATATATATATATATATATATATATATATATATATATATATTTATATGTGTGTGTGTGTGTGTGTGTGTTGGTCTTAAAGAAACAGTGGCAGGGAAATGAACATAAGTATCATGTTGCCATATGGTTACGCCGTGCCGTAGAGGGTTAAGTGTTATAAATTGGAATTTTGAAACTGGTTTATTGATGCCACTGGTAATAATCATGGGAGTGGGACAAATAACCACAATAAGGGGAAATCTTCAGAAATCATTGATAATTTAATGTAAACTTAACCTTACTGAAGTAATTCTTACTGGAGTAGTTACTACTGAAATTACCTGTGTGGGCTAGTTCTTTGTGATGAGTTTTCCTGAAATATAGGGCTGTGTTCTAAATTGCATACTTCCATAATATATAGAATGTTAAAAACAGTATGTGATGCAATTAGTATTTCCAAATTCGAAAGTATTCAAAAAATAGTATGCGATAAGTTCCCGGATGACCTACTACTCTCGGCGAGATTCTGAAGTATGCATCTCATGGTTGTAGCTTGTTTACTTTTTACCCAAGTTTGTAGCTCTAATCAAATTCACTTCCAACGCAATGTTGAGGACAATATTAGTGGAATACATGTAATGGAGGCCTGCTAGTAAGTGCTGTGCAGGTAAAGGAGGCCATGGTCATTAGCCTCCTTGGTAGAGCACCTGACTCCCATGTGCAAAGTTGCCAGTTCGATACGAGCTTGGAGCGGGTTGGGTGGCTTAGGACTGGTGGAGTTATATACAGACTAACTGCACTTCAAATTTCTACAGAAAATAGTAAATCATGGCTCCCAGCTTGCCCAAAGAGCATAGAATCACCAAGAGGTGACACTTTAGTGTGATTTGGGAAACAGCCACTAGATGGCGCGGCAGCCAATTTGCAATAAAAATTTCAATAGAACAGCAGCATATTATAAGTCTGTAAAATAAACAATTAAAAGTGCTGTTGATTGTCATAGTAAGTGTTGTATTGGCGTCCTTCAGGTTGTATCTCAGCTTTAATGCGCTTTTTACGTAAATAAATAAAAAGCAAAATGTTTCAAAATGTTTCGGAGATTTTTTACGTTGTGAGTGTGACAGGTTGATACATTTATTTTAATGTTATACTTGATATGACACAAAAGAGCAGTCAAAAATTATACATTTTTGGAAACAACAAGTAATGCATACAATTGTATACAAAAGATATTCTGATATATTCCTCGGTGCTAAATTGGTAAAAATAAAAGTCCCTGTAATAGCTGTCAACCTTGTTTGTCATTCTACCTTATTCATTCTGAAATGGACAGGTCACCTCTCTTCGGAAAGCTCAGATGGGAAAAATACACTGCACACATCTACACAATCATCATACCGGAAACTTGGACATACAAAATTAAACCTGTTACAATGTCCATTTTATTTACATACAGGGATACAGACTGTGTAAATAAGATGTCCTTTGGGGTGACTGAAGTCTGATTCCAAGTTAATGTCATAAGGACCACAGAAATCTGTTTCTGGGGCTGCACGGTTTCAAAACCGCCCAAATTTTGTCTATATCATTTTTTACCTGCACAATCAAATTCAAAAACCGCCCAATCTGGCAACAATGGCAGAGCTGTGCTATAGACTAAACGCAATGGGATATATGCACAGCTGTTTTTCCCTTACGGATAAACTTCCAGTAAAAGGTTAATGTGACTAGTTTCAATTTCATACAGTTCCTTTTATAGCATTGATGTTGTAATGTAGTGAAATTATAATCTATTAGATAGACTTATGCCTTTATTTAGTTGTTAAAGTGTAAAATAAGATGAATAGCAGTATAAACCTAAGCGCCATCAGAAGCAGCAGGCGAGTGCAGAATCTCCATTGAAAATACTATGGTAAAAACATTTTCATATTTAAAAGACATGGCATTGAACAATAGAATTTAATGCAGTGCTTCTTGTACATTCTAAGACCCGGTTTCAATCATGCGCTGAATGATTCCGTGTCATGTCTTTAAAATACAAACATTTATTTTACCCCTGTATATTCAGCTGAGTTTCTGTGATAGCCTGTTAATCCTGATGGGAGCTTGCATGTAAATGGAATTTCATCTCGCTTGAACAACTAAATAAACACTGGAGTCTATTTAACTGATAATATTTTTATAACATTACAACATCAATGCTGTACAAGGAAGCATATAAAATAGAAAAAAGTCACATCAATCGTTCACTAGAACTTTATCAGTAGGCTATGGTTGGCCAGTAGCCAGCCTAATGAAAGGGGTGTTTTTTTTTCTCAAAAAGTGGATTTTTTTTCACCTCATTTTCTATTTAACTATGCATTTTAGTGACATTTTAAGCACTATTTTTGTCTGGAAAAGCTTGTTGGATGGTCATTATAATAACCACCTTTTGGTGTATCAAAAACATCTTCTAAAGATTTAGATAGTTACTTAAAATGTTTTTTCTATTTAACAACAATACAGTCGCTCAGTAGTGAAAGATGACTTCACTTACATCAGATTTGCTTCAATTGGTTACTTTAGATTCATGATAGCATAGCAGTCCAAATAGTACAAATGAGCTCATGTGGGACAAGTTCTGGACTTCAGTGGAGGGGTGGGTCTTTCTTTTAAAGACTCTAAATATGTTTTTATTCCTTTGTAAAGCAATCAATCAAG